GAATGAGATATTGAATATTTAAGTCACATCTATAATGCACAATGTTTAACAAGTGAATCCAGCTCATGGTATGAATGCTCTAGCTCGTCACCAAACCAAAATAAAATACAATAATAAAGGAAGAATGAAGATGGAAAAGGCAAAGGGCCAAATGTACCATCAGTGTACGCAAATAAATGATCTGGGAGTGAAGGATTGAGAGCTCTCTCTCTCAAGGGGCAAGGCATTTTGGCTCAATCAAAAAGGGTCAACTAATCAACACATGGTTTTTAAAAGCTAAAATCCCCTTAGACTGACTTACAAACAGGGGTCAGGAGTGTTATCAATGTAAAACCATTATAGATCCATTGCTTCATTTTTAGTACCTCTGCTGGTTTGTTCTCCAGTCTCCTGTTGTTGTTGTAAACTAAATATATCCTTCGAAACTAACTTTGGAGTTTCTTCAGTGTTCAACCCAGTATGCTGTTTGCTTTGCTTCAGCTGTGTCTTGGTACACAAAACACCCTCTATTGTTTATGTGAACACCAGAGTAACTTTTTTTTTCTTATTTTTTTCTTTTCTTTTAGGGGGTAGATCAGCTTTAATATTGCAGATAGATTGTAACTTCCATCTATGTAATTGTCTGCATCACTTCCAATCCCCAATATGCAAATATATACATATACATACAGTGGGGAAAAAAAGTATTTAGTCAGCCACCAATTGTGCAAGTTCTCCCATTTAAAAAGATGAGAGAGGCCTGTAATTTTCATCATAGGTACACGTCAACTATGACAGACAAATTGAGAAAAAAAATTCCAGAAAATCACATTGTAGGATTTTTAATGAATTTATTTGCAAATTATGGTGGAAAATAAGTATTTGGTCACCTAGAAACAAGCAAGATTTCTGGCTCTCACAGACCTGTAACTTCTTCTTTAAGAGGCTCCTCTGTCCTCCACTCGTTACCTGTATTAATGGCACCTGTTTGAACTTGTTATCAGTATAAAAGACACCTGTCCACAACCTCAAACAGTCACACTCCAAACTCCACTATGGCCAAGACCAAAGAGCTGTCAAAGGACACCAGAAACAAAATTGTAGACCTGCACCAGGCTGGGAAGACTGAATCTGCAATAGGTAAGCAGCTTGGTTTGAAGAAATCAACTGTGGGAGCAATTATTAGGAAATGGAAGACATACAAGACCACTGATAATCTCCCTCGATCTGGGGCTCCACGCAAGATCTCACCCCGTGGGGTCAAAATGATCACAAGAACGGTGAGCAAAAATCCCAGAACCACACGGGGGGACCTAGTGAATGACCTGCAGAGAGCTGGGACCAAAGTAACAAAGCCTACCATCAGTAACACACTACGCCGCCAGGGACTCAAATCCTGCAGTGCAAGACGTGTCCCCCTGCTTAAGCCAGTACATGTCCAGGCCCATCTGAAGTTTGCTAGAGTGCATTTGGATGATCCAGAAGAGGATTGGGAGAATGTCATATGGTCAGATGAAACCAAAATAGAACTTTTTGGTAAAAACTCAACTCGTCGTGTTTGGAGGACAAAGAATGCTGAGTTGCATCCAAAGAACACCATACCTACTGTGAAGCATGGGGGTGGAAACATCATGCTTTGGGGCTGTTTTTCTGCAAAGGGACCAGGACGACTGATCCGTGTAAAGGAAAGAATGAATGGGGCCATGTATCGTGAGATTTTGAGTGAAAACCTCCTTCCATCAGCAAGGGCATTGAAGATGAAACGTGGCTGGGTCTTTCAGCATGACAATGATCCCAAACACACCGCCCGGGCAACGAAGGAGTGGCTTCGTAAGAAGCATTTCAAGGTCCTGGAGTGGCCTAGCCATTCTCCAGATCTCAACCCCATAGAAAATATTTGGAGGGAGTTGAAAGTCCGTGTTGCCCAGCGACAGCCCCAAAACATCACTGCTCTAGAGGAGATCTGCATTGGAGGAATGGGCCAAAATACCAGCAACAGTGTGTGAAAACGTTTGACCTGTGTCATTGCCAACAAAGGGTATATAACAAAGTATTGACAAAACTTTTGTTATTGACCAAATACTTATTTTCCACCATAATTTGCAAATAAATTCATAAAAAATCCTACAATGTGATTTTCTGGAATTTTTTTTTCTCATTTTGTCTGTCATAGTTGACGTGTACCTATGATGAAAATTACAGGCCTCTCTCATCTTTTTAAGTGGGAGAACATGCACAATTGGTGGCTGACTAAATACTTTTTTTCCCCACTGTACATACACATACATATAAATACATACATATATATACATATCCTTTTTTAAAATATATTTTCCTTTATTACTATCCAACCCCACCACCCCTTCCCAAATTGGAGTAAACTAGTGAACAACAACGCTTAAGCCTTCCAGCTTATACATACAGTGGGGAAAAAAAGTATTTAGTCAGCCACCAATTGTGCAAGTTCTCCCACTTAAAAAGATGAGAGAGGCCTGTAATTTTCATCATAGGTACACGTCAACTATGACAGACAAAATGTGGAAAAGAAATCCAGAAAATCACATTGTAGGATTTTTAATGCATTTATTTGCAAATTATGGTGGAAAATAAGTATTTGGTCAATAACAAAAGTTTCTCAATACTTTGTTATATACCCTTTGTTGGCAATGACACAGGTCAAATGTTTTCTGTAAGTCTTCACAAGGTTTTCACACACTATTGCTGGTATTTTGGCCCATTCCTCCATGCAGATCTTCTCTAGAGCAGTGATGTTTTGGGGCTGTCGCTGGGCAACACGGACTTTCAACTCCCTCCAAAGATTTTCTATGGGGTTGAGATCTGGATACTGGCTAGGCCACTCCAGGACCTTGAAATGCTTCTTACGAAGCCACTCCTTCGTTGCCCGGGCAGTGTGTTTGGGATCATTGTCATGCTGAAAGACCCAGCCACGTTTCATCTTCAATGCCCTTGCTGATGGAAGGAGGTTTTCACTCAAAATCTCACGATACATGGCCCCATTCATTCTTTCCTTTACACGGATCAGTCGTCCTGGTCCCTTTGCAGAAAAACAGGCCCAAAGCATGATGTTTCCACCCCCATGCTTCACAGTAGGTATGGTGTTCTTTGGATGCAACTCAGCATTCTTTGTCCTCCAAACACGACGAGTTGAGTTTTTACCAAAAAGTTCTATTTTGGTTTCATCTGACCATATGACATTCTCCCAATCCTCTTCTGGATCATCCAAATGCACTCTAGCAAACTTCAGACGGGCCTGGACATGTACTGGCTTAAGCAGGGGGACACGTCTGGCACTGAAGGATTTGAGTCCCTGGCGGCGTAGTGTGTTACTGATGGTAGGCTTTGTTACTTTGGTCCCAGCTCTCTGCAGGTCATTCACTAGGTCCCCCCGTGTGGTTCTGGGATTTTTGCTCACCGTTCTTGTGATTATTTTGACCCCACGGGGTGAGATCTTGCGTGGAGCCCCAGATCGAGGGAGATTATCAGTGGTCTTGTATGTCTTCCATTTCCTAATAATTGCTCCCACAGTTGATTTCTTCAAACCAAGCTGCTTACCTATTGCAGATTCAGTCTTCCCAGCCTGGTGCAGGTCTACAATTTTGTTTCTGGTGTCCTTTGACAGCTCTTTGGTCTTGGCCATAGTGGAGTTTGGAGTGTGACTGTTTGAGGTTGTGGACAGGTGTCTTTTATACTGATAACAAGTTCAAACAGGTGCCATTAATACAGGTAACGAGTGGAGGACAGAGGAGCCTCTTAAAGAAGAAGTTACAGGTCTGTGAGAGCCAGAAATCTTGCTTGTTTGTAGGTGACCAAATACTTATTTTCCACCATAATCTGCAAATAAATTCATAAAAAATCCTACAATGTGATTTTCTGGATTTTTTTCCCTCAATTTGTCTGTCATAGTTGACGTGTACCTATGATGAAAATTACAGGCCTCTCTCATCTTTTTAAGTGGGAGAACTTGCACAATTGGTGGCTGACTAAATACTTTTTACCCCCACTGTAACTATATATATTTTATGGACACAGTCAATTTTACAATAATTCAATTTTGTTTGTTTTTACTCCGGAACTTCCTCTACCCTCAACCTCTCCGATCATTTTCATGATGTCCATCCGGTTTGCTTCTATATGCCATATCTTTCTAATTGTGCTCTTTCACAAAAGCTCTCACCTATAACCTATAAACCTATTATGGACACAGTATGCTTTACATTAGTTATCTTGTTGTTATTAGTTGTTGTTAGTTGTTATTAGTACCATCCTTGAGCTCCATTCAGCTCCATTCAACACCTCCCATCTATCTCTTAACACCATCCATATTGGATTTCTATTTGCCATATAAATATTTTTCAACTGTACTGTGATGTTTCACAAAAGTTCTGAACCCTTCTATTCTCATTGTTTCTACAGATTGTAAATTAAAAATAAACATTTTTGTGAAATATTATTACTTCTTAATTATATTTAATCAGATTTACAAAAGCCCCAAATCTCTCAAAAGAAGGAGCTCAGGTGGATTTTCTCTCATGGGTCTCACACTCCCCTCTTGATCTGACACTTCCTTGAATAAGAAATAAAAAAAACAGGTTAAAAGGTTTAAAAAGTAGAAGCTAGCTAATGCTAGTTTGCGTATGTTTCCATGAACATAGCTTATATCTGAAAACGATGAGCTTTATGCATACATTTAACAATTGTATTGAAAACAACATCATTCCACGTTCATCATGTCAACCATAACACTTTGGTGTGTGTCTCCCATATCCAAGTCATGTCTCAAGTGGCCATGCTGCTATAAGGTAGAGGCTTGGTGTGTGAAGTGGCAGGGTGGATGCATAGAGACGGTGAGTGGCAGCAACTACAAGGCTTTTGTTTCTCCTCAGAGACGCAGGGACATAAAGGACAGAGAGAGAAAGAGGGAGAGAGAGGGGGATGAAAAAGAGAGGGAGTGTGAAAGGACGCGTGAGTGGCAGTTGTCACCGCCCAAGCTCTCACGACTGTCAATTAATGACAGAAAGTTCAGCCTTGGTCTTTGAAAAGCCCATACTCTCCTCTTGTGCAAAGAAAAACATTTGGTAAAACTAGTGAACATTGGCTTGATATTAGCCTTGATTGATAGTGGTGATGATGGTATCAAGGCCAACCAATTAGACTTGAAGGGAGAACAACAACAACAACACAAGGTATACTCTCTTTGATAAGCTGTTGCAAATCAGTTTTTAGAACTGTAAGCAAACCAAAACCGAAAATATCTTACCTTTACACGTTGGTAGGGCCTTGTCCCATATAGGTTTTCCATCCGAACCGATAACGCATGTGATTGTGGCTTGTCCAACAGCAGTATATCCAGAGTTACATTGATAGGTCACTGTGGAGCCCAGTTTGTAGTCCATCCCCACACGACTGCCGTTCATGATATTTCCAGGGTCAAAGCATGCCTCCCTGGGTTTCTCTGTGGAATAGAAAACATACACAAGCTCAAGATAAAGTACTGTGCAGGACAACAGACCTTGAGCAGAGAGACTTGATCTCAATACAACACCAAGGAGGAAAATGTAAAACCATTTTTCTTTGGGCTAAAGCATTGTAACTTATCCATAAATGCAAAAGAAACTCAGCAGTTGAAAAGCCCAGATATCATGAACAGGTAGGGTATGCATCCTGGGTTATTGGGTGCATTCAAACACTGAACATTCCAGGGATTCCCAGAAGCTGCTACTGATGTTTCTATCTCCTAGCCTATCACCTAGACTTCTGCTGTGGCTCTGCGGTGAACCTTAATGTAGGAGGCAGAACACAGGGAGTTTGAGTGTAAAAAAGAGCAGGTTGAGTTGCTCCAAGGTATCCTCAATAGAAAAGACCAGCACAGAGGCGAATGCAAGGTAAGCATGTGGGTCTGTAGAGGCAGCCAACCAGTGTCCTTCTGGCAACAGACACTCAGAGGACAGTTGGAAAAAGCTCTGGAGGTGGTGCTTGTATACACTGCCAAACAAGATGACAGCTAACAGCCCACTTCTTTCTGCTGCCCTGTGCTTTTGGGAGCGGTGAAAGTAGGAGGCCTGTGGTGGGAGATTCTATCACTGAAATTGCTATAGTGCATCACAATTTCAATACCCAGAGAGGGGAAATGCTTCTCAACATATAAGGCCAAAGTCCACATGCTGATGTCCATAACCTAAAGCTACAGTTTGAAATGGATTGATGAATACATTAGAAATACAGTAGTAGAAAACATCATAACAAATATATGAAGTATAGTACAGTAATAAGTATGAAAACAGAAACGTCAATGCCATTATTCTCAACATTTAAATTACCTTAGTTACTGGTACATGGATGGGGAGAAAAACTGAGAACATATGAGATTCATTTACAGAAAAAAGTGTTTTTAGCCTTGGGAGATGACAGATCTCACCCAGTTCCCATGCAAGGTAACTAACTGCTCTTATTGACAAAAGCACAGCTAAATACAGGGCCGTCTGTACAAAATCAAACAACAAATTATGCTATTGATTGGTTTTAATAAGTCTTCCAAGATGAACGAGAGGTTGAAAGGGCAAAATACTATACACATCTGTGTTCATGTGTTTTGTGACCTTCATGGACTTGCCATAATAAATAAATCAAATTATCCAGTCGATCTAGTTCTATCATCAATGCATTCAATTAAAAAAGCATTTAATAACATACTGTTTTTCAGATGCTGAATAGCTCTCTATGAACAACAGGCAAAAGGGCCAGCTAAAATAAGGACAGCTAGCTGACAGGAAGAAAAACATGCAATAAGGCTTTATCAAAAAATATAGTCTACAAAATATATTCTCCAGTGTCTGGAAATCTTTCATCCTAACAACCTATATCTATTGAAAACATTTCTATAGAGACATCAACCTTACTATATGGCCAGTGCTATACACTTTCAAAGAAACCTAGGGTCACCTCCTACGAGACCAACATGATGCATCGCTTGCCTTTGAATTCAATGGCAAAACCAGACATCCCGAGGGAGGCGTCACTCCTGAAGGCGAGGAAGAGGCTGTTGCCACTGCTCTCGATGCGCTCCGGGGCCTGGTTTCCATGCAAGCTGCTGATCAGTGGACCATTGGAGTTGTCACCCTCATAGATGTGCAGGAAGTCATAGCTGGGCTCCATGTTGAAACTGGGAGCATACAAAAGAGAACCAGGGTTATAAAAGACTGATGCCTAATTCACACTATAGGGTCAATCAGAACCATACTCTGCTGGCTCGGATATTTCCTTTTCACATATTTCCTTTCACATTGTCTATTCCAGCAACTATGGCGAGGCCAGCCCGGTTCAGCTTGGCCCTGAATCAGGCATGTGGGGGCTGTCTGTACTGTCTATAACTGTCATTAGAGGGAAGGTGAGCTGGTAATGTTCTGATGAATCTGAGATCAACTGATAACAGTTTGTTTTTTGATTTTTCTCATTGGAGTCAATGTAATTCCTGTGGGTACATACAGACTAATAAACACAGCTAGCTTGTATTCTACATTCAGTAACATGAGCTAAAATCATACATTTTATAAAAGCTTGTAGGTATCATCTAGGGATATTGGGTAATACAGTACAACACATCGATTTGGATAATATTTGAACAAAGGCAAACTATTTCACCTCAAACACAGGTGTTTGATGTTTGTTTACGGTAATTGCCAAACTGACAAAGACAGAGTGGATACGCTCTTTCCATCTGTTCTTTGACTTTGGTCCTTATTACCGTGGGTGGCTCACAGCGTAGCATGAGCAACATACCTTTTGAAAATTAGGGCTATAACAAAGTCAGGGTTGACTTTAATTCTCCAGTCACATTCCTTTCCTGGTGGGTATGGCTGTGGATAGTTGGGTGATAGAATCACCCCAGCAGGGCCTGTCACGTTGCCGCCGCAGGTAGCTAGCACATCAAGGAGAGTGAGGGCAACACACAGGTTTTAATACGACATGTCTCCAACACATTAAATGTTTACGGTGATTGAAGTGACAAAACAGGCCCCCATAGACATTCAGTGACAAACAGTAGTGATGGAATTCCTTCCTGCAACTGTCATTCAGAAGGGTTATTAGCATCTTTGCTTTTTCTTTTTAGCATTGTGTGAGACTTGTTCTATTGTCAATTTAAGTGTGTGTGCTAAGCAAAATCCTGTCAATCATGTGCTTGTTTGGGAGGGTTTGTGAGAGCAACATTTTTATAACCTTAGTAATCTTCCACCGTTACTAATGATTCTGCCTATAAATGGCCTTCCATCAAGCAATGATCAGTGTTGTAGTAAACATGTCAAATGACTAGAAGTGACTAAGTGTACTGTCTGACAAAGGATTTGTTGATAATGGCAGAAAATGCCAATTACATTTCAGTTACTGATGAATCATTCTTCACACGGGGACTCACACTCTAATGAGACATGGTTTACATTCTTAAGGATTCATTCATTCTAATAATAAACATGTCAATCATTCAACATAAAGTAATTAAGCCGACACAAATGAGTGGTTAGGTGCCCAACACCAACAGTAAGTCATTCATAAAACACTGCTTACATGTATTTTTAGATACCACAAATCCTTCAACGAAACAAGGCAGTGGGACACTATAGGCCTAGTATACAGATTCCAAATATCCTTCTTGCAGCAGAATAATCCTAAAGGGAACATCTACCTATTGTACAAACCCTTTGTTGACATACAGGTAAAGCCATGAACAGAAATAACAATTAAGTTATTTCTCCATTACTGTGGAGGTCAAAGCAACATACCTATACAGGTAGGAGGGTCTGGCTGCCAATAGAACCTGTTATTGAGCTGTACACAGGTGATCTTGTCTAGGCCCTGGACCTGGTAACCTGGGTCACACTGGAAGGTGATAGTGTCCCCAGGCTCCCGACTATCCCCGTAACGCGTCCCATTCTGGGGTGTCCCGGGGTCATTACAGGTCGTCGCAGTAGTAGCTGAAATCACACAAATGAATCACTTATAAACATGAGACAAATGCTGACATTTTGACAGGACGGTTTTAAATCATACAACTCTCATGTTTTTTAGCCAAAGGCTGATAATGATATAAGCTTAATTTGATGTGTTGAAATCATTGGACTGGCAGCAAACTGATTTGTGGAGACTAATTGTCTTTTAAATCATATTTCCAGAAAATATTTGCCATTTATATGCAAATGCAATGCTCAATTTCATTTACATTTGTATGAAATACTTATTTGTCAAAATGATTTGTCATAACAGTGATTTATACATGGCCCAGAGTAGGATAGAGAGAGGGAAATGTCAAGAAACATCCTGTAGCCTTTGTCTGAAAAGCTACTGAATAGAATGTCATATCCGAATTCCTCTGGTCCATTGTGACAGGTACTACTTACTTGAGAACTGAATGGAGAAGCCTGACTTGCTGATGAAGTAATCACTGTCAAACTGGAGCGTTAGGATGTTGAAGGTGCTATGGGTGTCTTCGGGCAGAGCTGACCCACTCCATTCCTTCAAGAGGATACCCCCCTCTGTTGGACCATCCCACACCTTCAGAATGTCATGAGCCACTTCCGTGTCAAACACTATGAAGTGGAGACTAAATAGAGAGAGGGAGGGGGATATTTGTATTTGTATTTTTGTATTTATTAGGTATCCCCATTAGCTGTTGCTAAGGCAGCAGCTACTCTTCCTGGGGTCCAAACATATTAAAGCACTTACATTACATATAAAACAAAAGATAAAACAGTACATCATATAACATTATTACACCACTACATATCTACAATACAAAATGTACAATACAAAATGTATAATACCACCATACAACAATATTACAATGTATGCGTATGCATGTGTCTGTACCTTTGTGTGTGTCTCTTCACAGTCCCCGTTGTTCCATAAGGTGTATTTTTACCTGTTTTTTTAAATCTGATTCTACTGCTTGCATATTGATTATACACTATGCACCTCTTCAAGAATTAGAACCTTTCATACTGAAGTCCGGTCTTACCATTGGTTTACATCTGTGACAAACACCTATACAGTCAACAATACTCCATAAATCAACTGACCAAGGGTAACTACTGACTTGTAATAAGAAAATATCATTGGAATTCTATAGAACCAGTTCTCAAGTAATGTCTCAGACCGATGAAACATCTATATCAGATCGTTCTTGCTCACCAAACCATTTAAGCAATGTTTCAATTATTTTTAGCAATAACTAGGGAGAGGATGAATTCCTTTGATTTTTACATTTTTATTCATTTAGCAGACGCTCCTATCCAGAGTGACTTTAATTAGTGCATTCATAAAGGTGAGACAACAACATATCACAATCGTAGCAAGTACATTTTCCCTTAACAAAGTAGTTCTCAGCAAAGTCAGTGCTAGTAGGAAAAGACAAGTGCCGTGGGATTTATTTAAAATACTCTTTAAAGAGTTCGGGTTTCAGAAGTTTTCCTTTAAAAAGTCTAATAGCCAGTGATGTCAATTGTATCTCTCCTCCTTGATCCGTAAATTGCTTGAACTGAATTGGCATATCTGATTTCAATGGCATTTCAAGCAGGCATAATTGGTTTATCTTTGGGGGTTATTGTTTTGTTTTTAAGAAGCCAGTAATGGACCTGAAGGAATAAATGCTAATGTAAAGGAAGGCCTAGCAGTGGGGTGAAATGCAATCAGCAATGGCACATTTAATCACAGCTTATTTTCCAAAAGTGCAGCAGAACAATTGCTCCGCTATACTAGACACGCCTCACAATAAACTAGCTGATTTCATTTCACATTTAAATGGAGTCAAGAAAAATTGGGTTATTGTGTATCTAATTGCCTATTCCAAGGGGGTGTGTCCCTATTGTGAGATACTGTACCTGATGGTCTTGCCTGTGTCCGCTTCGATAGACCAGGTACAGTGGAGGTTGTTGTCGTAGGGTGCAGGGTAACCCGGGGAGAGTATCCGTCCAGATATTGCACCTGCGATGTGGCCTCCGCATTCAGCTAGATAAGGAAACCAAAACGGCAATAGACAATAGAAATCCGACTAAATAAGCCTTAGCTGATGCACCTTAGGCTGGATTCTCTCTCTGGCATCAACCAGCTGAATGTATAAACATCATATAATACATCACATCATTACATGCACTTGAAAGAATCAAATATGTTCTCAAGCTTCTCCACATACATGTGTATTATTTTAGTGACCGCTGACAACACAGAAAAAGAGGAGAGGATATCCCTAGTATGTTGCTTCGTTCAAAGGAAATAAAAAATACAATGGCAGCCTAAGGCAATGTCATCTATTTTCCATGCTACTTTTCAGCTGTATGGAAATGTGTCTGAACCGAGCTAGGCTAATTAAGGAATGAGGCTGAAGAATGACAGTGTAATGTATCAGTTCTCTCCAGCACAGAAAGCTCAGACTGTCCATACTTCAATTAAGAGGGAGACACACAAGGTTTCTATAGCTTTAGGGGCAATAATATAGCCAGCATTAGGGGATAAATGTTCATAGCTGTTAACTAGCGTAACTATTAAAGTATAATATAAATGACAGCATGTTAGCCCAGGGTTTGACTCGTAGTTAGCCTGAGAGAGCGTAACTGGCAAAGCTGGTAATTTAATGGAATCAATACGATATTAATAACAGTGGAACAGAATGCAGACAACACAACAAATTCCATGTTGACTGGTAAAATTGTATAATATTTTCAAACGCACCAGATGAAAATGAATCCTTTAATATGGGCATCTTGAACATGACCATTACCATGGTAATTAAAATGTAAACAAAATGTTACTTAGGAATGGAAAGTGTTTCGCCATAATCAGGAAATGTATCCTTGATGATGAGATTTGTCTATTTTCGGCAGTGACTCACTCACCTAGACAGGAAGGTAAAGGTTTGTCCCAAACCCTACGGTCTCCACTTAGGCATGTCAGAGTGCTGCTTCCATGGAGAGTATAGCCAGGGTTACAACTGTACAACACAAATGTGTTTGCAAAATGGCCGTCATCTTGAATTTTGTATCCATAATTCGGAGTTCCTGGTTCTTCACACTTGACAAGGTCAAAACCTACAACGACAGACTTGAGACTTTAGCCCATTCAAACATAACAAACATTCATTTATTTTCATTAATGACAAAGGTTGAACAATAAAAAATAAATCTGTCCAGTGAAATGAAGCAAGCTGCTTCAAGCATTCTAGTTTGACTTTATATTAGCGATGCTTTTCATACATCAGCCTAGAGCATGCAATATTGTAGTTTAAGGTTACTGTAGAATGAATGGTAGCACCTACACTAGCGGTCAAAAGCTTGGACACACCTACTCATTCAAGGGTTTTTCTTTATTTTTACTATTTTCTACATTGTAGAATAATAGTGAAGACACCAAAACTATGAAATAACACATATGGAATCATGTAGTAACCAAAAAAGTGTTAAACAAATCAAAATATATTTTATAATTGTATAGCTTTGCACACTCTTGGCATTCTCTCAACCAGCTTCATGAGGTAGTCACCTGGAATGCATTTTAATTAACAGGTGTGCCTTCTTAAAAGTTAATTTGTGGTATTTCTTTCCTTCTTAATGCATTTGAGCCAATCAGTTGTGTTGTTACAAGGTAGGGGGGTATACAAAAGATAGCCCTATTTGGTAAATGACCAAGTCCATATTATGGCAAGAACAGCTCAAATAAGCAAAGAGAAACAACACTCCATCATTACTTTAAGACATGAAGGTCAGTCAATACAGAACATTTGAAGAACTTTGAACATTTCTTCAAGTGCAGTCGCAAATACCATCAAGCGCTATGATGAAACTGGCTCTCATGAGGACCGCCACAGGAATGGAAGACCCAGAGTTAGCTCTGCTGCAGAGGAAAAGTTCATTAGAGTTACCAGCCTCAGAAATTGCAGCCCAAATAAATGCTTCCCAGAGTTCAAGTAACAGACACATCTCAACATCAACTGTTCAGAGGAGACTGTGTGAATCAGGCCTTCATGGTCGAATTGCTGCAAAGAAACCACTACTAAAGGACACCAATAAGAAGAAGAGACTTGCTTGGGCCAAGAAACACGAGCAATGGACATTAGACCGGTGGAAATTTGTCCTTTGGTCTGGAGTCCAAATTGGAGATTTTTGGTTCCAACCGCCGTGCCTTTGTGAGACGCGGTGTGGGTGAACGGATGATCTCCACATGTGTATTTCCCACCGTAAAGCATGGAGGAGGAGGTGTTATGGTGTGGGGGTGCTTTGCTGGTGACACTGTCTTTGATTTATTTAGAATTCAAGGCACACTTAACCAACACGGCTACCACAGCATTCTGCAGCAATACACGATCCCATCTGGTTTGGGCTTAGTGGGACTATCATTTGTTTTTCAACAGGACAATGACCCAACACACCTCCAGGCTGTGTAAGGGCTATTTTACCAAGCAGGAGAGTGATGGAGTGTTGCATCAGATGACTTGGCCTCCACAATCCCCCGACCTCAACCAAATTGAGATGGTTTGGGATGAGTCGGACCGCAGAGTGAAGGAAAAGCAGCCAGCAAGTGCTCAGCATATGTGGGAAGTCCTTCAAGACTGTTGGAAAAGCATTCCAGGTGAAGCTGGTTGAGAGAATGCCAAGAGTGCGCAAAGCTGTCATCAAGGCAAAGGGTGGCTATTTGAAGAATTTCAAATATAAAATATATTTGGATTTGTTTAACACTTTTTTGGTTACTACATGATTCCATATGTGTTATTTCATAGTTTTGATGTCTTCACTCTCATTCTACAATGTAGAAGCTGAAAATAGGGGGAACATGTCGAAAATGCCTCTATCCACTCGGTATCTCCAGACCCTTGAATGAGTAGGTGTTCTAAAACTTTTGACCGGTAGTGTATATCTGTCTCAACGCACAACACACAACTGCAACTCTCACTGGCATTATAGATTATTTTGTTTACCATCTTAAACTAGACTCTCTCATGAGAAATTCACGGTATTGTACTTACTTACAAAATATATACATTCTTCAAACAAGATACATTTGTGCCTTGACCTGCAGAGGTTGTCCATCAGACCACCTTCAACTAATGTGAAAGATAACACTGTTCATATAGGGCAAGTAAACAAGGACTAAAGATACAATACGAGGCCTATTTGTTATCGGTGTAAGCTTAGAATTGGAAATTGGTTTATTCTTGAGGGGGCCAGTTTCTTAGTAAAGCCTATTTGAACATGAATCAGGGAATATCTATAGAGGCTGTCTCACATTTGTTCTAGGACATAGTCTACTTACTGCTGTACGTCAGTCTGAATCCCTTGTTGGTTTCAGTGCCGTTGCTGTTGAACTCAATCCAGAGGTGATTTGAGGTACTGTTGATGATGGCATTGTACATGTCAGTTTTTGAGAAATTGCCAAGAAGACGATGTGAAGTATCCTTTCCGTCATACACCTGTTGATGAAGGAACAACACTATAATGCACAGGTTTCTCAAAATACTATTAATATTCAAGGGAATATAATAATAATAATAATATAAATAATAACAGTAACGATTTACTTTGACTATATATCCATAACGCATTGATTACACATCTATAAGCATTTCATGAACGTGTTATAACAGGTCCTAATCGCATTATTAAAGGTTAATTAATGAAATATAGCCATAGCATATCTATAGCGCATTCATGTCATGCTATGCAAGAGCTCATATTTAGGTATCTTAATAGATGCATCAATACAATTAGAGCTTAGTGTCATTATAATGTCTGTTCTCAAAAGTTTGCTTCTGCCATACCACGTTTAGAAAATTATGCTGATATATATATATATTATATATATATATATATATATATATATATATAATATATATATATATATATACACACATATATATAATATATATATATATATATATATATAATATATATCTATATATATATATATATAATATATATATATACATACATAGCCTGTATTAGCCCCATTTCCCCCACAAGCCAGGGGAGGCCCCGTGACTTACCCTCTTCTTCTTCTTAATAAAATAAATAATAATAATATGCCATTTAGCAGACGCTTTTATCCAAAGCGACTTACAGTCATGCGTGGCATACATTTTTTTTTTTTTGTGTATGGGTGGTCCCGGGGATCGAACCCACTACCTTGGCGTTACAAGCGCCGTGCTCTACCAGCTGAGCTACAGAGGACCACCCATACTCTCACTGAGGTCAATAGTGTATGGGGTCCCCACAGGGTTGAATCCTCAGGGTAACTTTTACGGATCAAATTGTGTAGTTGATGGTCATAACTCTTTCGTAACTCTTTAACAGCCCTCCTCCACATCACAATGCAGTTGGTCATACTGGTCTATATAACTCACACATGAAGGGTCTATTAATGAATTATATGCAGTCAAAGTAAAGTCAAATCTATTTTCCCATTCATAAAGCATTTATAGCTAAGCATTTATGGGGAATTGAACTTGAATGCTTGAATTTGAATCTTTGTTAAATCTATTCAAGAAAATTCAAACTGAAAAATGCCAATAGCATGATTTTTTGGCGATGTCCTCAGCAATTGTTTTCTGTCTTACGTCTGGAAAATTGAAAAAATAAAAGTTCATATTTCCTTTAACATTCACGTTGTGTCCGTATAATTTTTTATAAGTGAGGCATGTTTCAAAATGCTTTATAAATGCTTTATGAATGGGAAAATAGAAATGACAGTATGTTGACTGCATAGAATTCATACATAGACCTTTAAAGTTGGTGTTTTAGATCAGATGGCAAACTGCTCAGTTAATTACCAAGAAGTGCTTAGCTATAAATGCTTTATGAATGGGAAAATAGATTTGACTTTACTTTGACTGCATATAATTCATACATATACCCTTCATGTGTGCGTAATAGACCTGTATGACCAACTTAGGCCTAATTGTGATGTGGAGGAGGGCTGTTAATCAATTACGAAAGAGTTATGATCCTCAACTACACGATTTGGTACGTAGAATTTACCATGAGGTTTCAACCCTGTGGAGATCATCAAGCACCATTGACCTCACTGAGAAGAAGAAGAACATAAGTCACAGGCCTATAATGGCTGGTGGGGAAATGGGGCTAGTACAGGCTATATATCAGCATAACTTTCTAAACGTTGTTTGGCCTTTTGGCATATTCCCTACCACTGGTATGAGAGAAGCACACTTTTGAGAACAGCAATAATGATGACACTATGCTGTCATTGTAATGATGCATCTATTAAGATACCTAAATATGAGCTCTTGCAGAGCATGACATGAATGTACTATAGATATGTCATGGATATATTTAATTAACCTTTAATAATGCAGTTGGGACCTATTATAACAAGTTCATGAAATGCTTATAGATGTGTAATAAATGCGTTATGGATATATAGTCAAAGTAAATCGTTACCATAATAACATATATATTTACCAGACGCTTTTATCCAAAGCGACTTACAGTCAATCATGTGCTTTTTTTATTTTTATTTTTTACATATGGGTGGTCCCCGGAATTGAACCCACTATCCATGCTCTACCAACTGAGCTACAGAGGACCACAATAGCGTGCTATTTAATAGGAACTGCATGTATACTCGCGCTATTTGATGAATGGAAATGGACATCTGTTACAAAACACCAAAAAGTGTGCCTAATGACATTCAGTGATTGTCATTGATTAGGCCTTCATTAATTGATGCGTCTTGTTGACACATTTACCTTTTTTGTAGCCTAAAATGTCGGACACCTGAAATGGGCTGAAATTTGTCCCGGGAAAAATGGGACGGTCACCCTAACACACAAGGTCAACTTACTAGACTAGGCTACAATGTGTATTACAATGAACTTCAAAAAGGCCTACCAGTAGCCAGTGATAAAAGTGGTATAAAAAATAGGTAGGTAAACTCTGATTACCGGTCACTGTAAATAAATAAGTAACACTCCCTATACTTTCAATGCATTTTTCAGAAAATCTGGGTAAACAGCGTTTACCCTCCACTAGGCCTACACCACCCCCGGTAGCCTACCCTCTCAGCCGAGACAATTTACCATACATGAATACACACAGAACAGGTAGCCTACATTCGATAAAATACCTGAGTTTAATCAAAACATGTTTTACACCCTAGTTCATGAGTTGTCCATAATTCATGAGTGAACGCTTAGTCTTCACAGATCGTGTGACCTACTGTAAATCACTACATTTATTTTCTTACATTAATTACATTTATGACAGTGTTATTTGTAATTATTAAGCATTTAACAATTGAATTAGAAAATGTAACTTAAACCTTGTACGAATCATGGATCTTGGAGAATGCACTGTAAGTGTTACTATGCCTACGTCACATTTAATTATATTTCGCCGTGAAAACAGCTCCCATGGGCACACAAATCCAAAATAATGTAGGCCTATGCCGTTGCAAAATCGAATACTTCTAACCGAACGTTAACCTCTTCTAACCGAGTCACCTTATAGGCCTACTGTCATTAACGTATATAGCCAGCCTACTTGTTGGATGGATTGGATGCGCATTGGGGTCTAGCTTTAGGCTAGTTGTCTAGTGATATTGTCGACCATCATCAGCTGATCCAGGAAAGAAAACAAATATTGATAGAAAATAATAAAGCTAAATAAATGGTCTACTACTTCTAGCCAAAGATGGCACGGAGAACACCAGTACCCGCACGCACCTGAAAAACAACGCAATGAGCGCTCTAAACAGCTGATTGACACAAGCAAATAATGATAAATCAATGGATAAATATAATGCATTGGAATAAAGGCTATTTTTATCAAGGACGTATGGCAAACAAATGGCGAAAATGAGGAAGTACAAAGGAAAATCTATGCGTAAAGGAGCTCAGCTGAGGCCGAAATTCAACACTACTGAGTGGACAGCGCCACCACATAGAAATAAATGGTTTAAACGATGACAGAGAGGTGGGAGTGTTCGTTTAATTTAGAAGCTTTTCATATTTCCACTACATTTTAAACAAATAGGAGGATGGTTAAATTAGCATTATTTAGAGACCCCCCAAAGTTGGACTTTTGTTGCATTTAGGGAAGCTAACGTCTCATTCAGGGGAGCTGAGTTCCCGCTGGCTCCCCCGTAATTCGCATCTTGACTGTACAGTATGCAGCCTCTTGCAGTACAGTTACATTATTCACAATGGCAGCGCGAGTAGTTTGAGTGAGCAGTTAGCATTCAATCAATCAAGAAAATAATAAAGAGCCGATAGGCAGATCCATATTGTACATACATACTATGAATACATACACAAAGGAAGAATCATTAAAAAGTGGGCCATCCAAAGGACAGTGATCAAGACAATGTTCATGCGGGGAAACCAGAAGGGTGCCTTTTCCAAATAACATACTGTTGCTGTTTAATAAAACAAATGGCAGAGGTCATCATAAATCAATGTCAGTTTTCCGATTTTCTAACGCAGTTAACATTGTTTCAACCCTGAGCAGAATAGTAGGCTGGGTCACATAATTCAAGACCAAAATGAGAAGAAAATATCTTTACAATGTGATGGTTACATTTTCCTGTGTTTGACTGAGCATTTCCCATGCTGAAGAAAGTTTAAAGACCAATCAATTTATAACATTAAAGACAATTAATTTGGAAGAACAAAATGTAAGAACTGAAACATTAGATTTGTAACATTATAGGGAATCCTTCAGTCTCTGCAAAATCATTATAATAAGGGAAACACAATGGCAAACAATGCAGGAGGTCGGAGAATGCTTGAACAACAGACATGTTTCTTTGCTTTTCACAGCAATAAGCAGTGACACTTCTGTACATTAGATAGCAGTAGAATGGGAAACAGTGGGTATAAAACTTTAAATGTATTCTTTCAATCAAGAACCTTGCCATTAGGATAAACAATCTTTCCTAAATCCCTTTCCACTTCCTCAATTATTGGCTATTAGATGCACAGAATGTATGATAAAATATTAACAAAAACATTTCATTGTACAGGCCACATGCACAGGCATTTCAGATTTCTCATATGATGTTACTCTCAAAGAGAACACATATTCTCTCTTGTTTTCAATAACATATATGTATAATTAGTGGTCTTTAGGGATTGTTAAAAATGTATTTGTCTCACGGTGCTCTATATGCCTCAAGCTCTGGCATCATGTCATTTTAATGAAGGCATTAATAGTTCATGATCTGACTGAGTCACTAGCTCTGGTCTCCTACAGGTTACATTGGGTCATATTCCAACTGCATTCAAAGAGTTGATGATGCAGTGAAAAAGTCCCACATTGAGCCCTTTATTACCCATTTACACACCTTGCAGTAAGAGGGTTATGCGTGGGGCAGTATTTATGTGTAACATAAACAGAGTAAATATCCAGTGTAGTGTATGAGTGATGTGTAGAGTGTGTGTGAAACTCACCTTCAGGTAATCCCCCTCATGGAGCTGGAAGTTAGTGGCTGTGACACGGATGCCCTTCCCTGTCTCCGTCTCAATGCGGTAAATGCACTCATGGTTATTGTCATAATTGGATGGGTAATTGGGTGATAGCAGAACCCCCTCACTCCCAATGGTAGTGGCTCCACATTCAGCTAGGCAGAGAGAGAGAGAGAGAGAGAGAGAGAGAGAGAGAGAGAGAGAGAGAGAGAGAGAGAGAGAGAGAGAGAGAGAGAGAGAGAGAGAGAGAGAGAGAGGAATGGAGAGAATTTGATATTAAGACATATCATGGCAATCTGTGTTTGAAGTAAGAAAAATATCTTGATTATCTTTAGAGAACTGTCAAATTTCCCTACACACTAGAAGCTGCTCATTCCACACAATGAGAGAGAGAGAGCGAGAAGACCTGTGAGAAAATTAATATCTGGCGGTCATGAAGTGGCGTCTCCTGAGTGGCGCTGAGTGGCGCAGTGGTCTAAGACACTGCATCGCAGTGTTAACTGTGTCACTAGAGATCCTGGTTCGAATCCAGGCTCTGTCGCAGCCGGCCGCGACCGGGAGACTCATGGGCGGCGCACAATTGGCCCAGCGTCGTCCAGGGTAGGGGAGGGAATGGCCGGCAGGGATGTTGATAGAGCATGGCGTTTGCAACGCCAGGGTTGTGGGTTCGATTCCCACGGGGGGCCAGTATAAAAAAATAAAAATAAAAAAAATAAAAAAATATGTATTCACTAACTGTAAGTCGCTCTGGATAAGAGCGTCTGCTAAATGACTAAAATGTAAATGTAAATGTAATGAAACTGAAGAGGGGCATTAAAGGAGCAGTTTAACCCAAAGAGAAGAGTTCACCACAAATATTCAGCAGGTTGAACCCAGAATACTTCAGCAGCTGCTACTCTGTTACCCACTGATGGCCAATCAGGTGTTGCCCCTGTTGGAATATGACCCATTCGCATATTGATGAATCGCAACAACAGAAACTTGAGAGGAATATTAATTAATGAACAGCTCTCTGCATTAAGTGTGTGTTAGTCACTAAGTCTCAGGGCTGTGCTGGAATTGGATGTCCTTGTAGTTAATATTCTGATGTTGTTCCTCAGGTATAGAAGCAGATGTTGCCTGTAGAACTTGAGCTGTGTGAGCTTGATCTCGAGTTCGGTTCTCGTGGGGTGATTGCCTAATTTTCTCTACTGAACTTTTTATGGGAAAGCACAAGGTTCTTTGTAGGGGATGTCAAAATGACAGGCAGATCATCTCTTAGCACAATATATATGATATGTGTATAACTGTGTCCAAACTTTGCCCTGGTTTCATGCTCTGCCCATAAAAGATAACTTAATTGACAATAGGGACCAGCTGAGTTATATTCTTGAAATTGTAAATTAACCTTTTTACCTTTTTTCTGAAATTGAGGTAAATCAAACAATCCATTAGAAACTAGCTCATTCACTTGCATTACACTGTATGTTCGGTATAGCTCATTCTCCTGTCATTGGTAAAGTACAGTACACGTTTTTTCAAAGTATAAGTATTCACAGTTTGTCCAAATGAAATGAAAGCATGTGTCCACCTACCCACACACCTTGGCAGGGCTCCACTCCAGACCCTCCGGCCTCCCCCCAGGCAGGTGATCTTGTGGTCCCCCTCCAATCGATAACCCGGGAAGCAGGAAAAAATGAGTGAGTCCCCCACCTCAAACTGGAAACCAACTCGCCGGCTGTAGGCTGGCACTCCTGGATCTTCACAAGGCTCTAGGCTGTACTCTGTGGAATATGCCAACATGTTTATTAACCCTCAAACTACCAACATACAGTATTTTACATACATGGATTACCAACTGGGGTCATTTTGGCACCAGAAACTATTGGAAAAAGCAACAATCATCGCAAAATATCAACTTACTTCTTATCAAAATATATTTTTATCATGTAAATAATGTTATCTGAAATATACATTTACCAAAACAGACTGTTATTTTAGCAAAATTACAGTTTTTTTGCATATCCTATAAAACAAAAATATTATATCATGTGCAGCTTTAGTACAATCCACATTAGTACTAAAATGCAAATTTACCATCATTTGATTGTAGTATCATTTAGTTTTTAGAATTGAAATATATCTTTTTTTATAGTTATGTGGTAAAAAACGACCAGAATTTAAAGTAATCTAAAATGTAATCTACGTAATCCCCGAAAGTAATTATTTACTGTATCATGAGAGGACCATAAACAATAACTAGTAATGCTGCATACTCTAAAAAAGGTTAACATCTCACCTTTTTGATAAAAATAGTTATCAATTGCTGAGGTGTAGTCACTTTTAAAGACACAAGCTCAAGTACACAGTGAAAATTTGATACAAATATGAAAATATGAAATATTCTATATGATGTATTTGGTATTCAACAAAACTGTATGAATAAGGCTTGAAATGACATATGCTTTCTAAATATAGTACAATAAAATAAAAAAAGCTAACTAAAATAATTCACCTTCCTTATAACTGTAAAATACATATTTGTATGTTTAGAGTTAGAGAAAATCTGCATATTTTCTAAAGGTCTCTCTTGATAAAAACATATACCCCCACCTTTGTGAACGTCACACAGAGCTCTAGCCTGGCTTCCTGAACTCATTAGGAACTCGCCTTTCATCTCATATTAATATTGTCCATCTATGACAAACAGAAAGTGTTTTGTTGTTTAAAATCTATTATTTTAGATTCATGGCTATAAATCAGTCTCTGAATGTGCGATAGTGATGAAACCACTCTCTCCTGCTGTGCTACGATGTAAGGATCGTAGGCATGTGCTTTGTCAGTGGCTGTGAATTAGGGAGCGAGCCAGGAGTTGATGGACAGTCTGAAGAGCGAATGAAATGGTAGGAGGGAAATCCCAGCTTCAATTGGTTTCAGATTTCACATCGTAAAGGTCAGTTGGAACCGGTACCAGAACCACGCAGGCAGTGGTGTAGTGGAGGGTATACCCACTTATTTTTCATTATTTCTTTACATTTTAGGCGCAGCAATATACACACGGCAGTTGGCCTACACTTGAATGTTCCAACATGCAATTTGCGGGAAAACAGCGTTCTAAAACGTGCACCGCTCATGCAAGCGGTTTCATGGACAGAAATAGGGAGGGTTTAAAGATGCAACAACTATCATGGGTTGCTAATATGATTAGGATCAGGGGAGGTGTGTTCAATAGGGCGATATGGGCGACGCACTGCCAAACGGGAAAAGGAAGGGATTTTTTTTCTAATCAATTATATCACGGCAACAGTAGTTATCAGTGTTGTAATCTAGACGTCTGATCTGCCACAGTGCCACTAAATGTCCAATCAGGCTAAAGTCGTGCTTCAAATGGCCCCCCCCCCTTTTGGGGCGATTTCAGTCAGGTTGAAAATCGCCCAGAAGTCTGTCATAGACTCCCATGTAAAATCTATTTTTTTCAAATATCAGAGCTTTCAATACAATCTCTATGGGTTTCTGAGGGCTTGCACTTACGCGCTTTCGTCATACGTAACATAACCATGAACGTAACTAAGAAAAGAGCGGGTAGCCTCGTCAATCAATTCACTACTACTATCAAAATGGCTAGGCTTCAGTGCAACTCGATTGTGTCTTTGAAAGAAGTTCCTTTTTGTCGGCAAACAAATGAAGATAAATTGGCAACGAAACAATTAGGACCTCCCAGACCAAATTTAATAATTCAACAGGTTTCTACTAAAGGGGGGAAGTCCTACACCCGAGGATTTTCCAAAAATTGGTACGAACGAAAAACCTGGCTAGCAGGCTGCGATGTAGCTAATGCAGTCTTCTGCTACCCCCTGCTTACTCTTTCACCCTGAAGGCGGCACGGCAGACAGCACCGCTTGGACAGCGACTGGTGTGTAACGGACATGCACCATCTTTCAGGAAAGATTAAGAAACATGAGCTGTCAAAGACCCACATGGATAGCTGTTTGAGATTGTCTGCTTTGGGGAGAGTGAACATTCCCACTCAACTGGATGAGGGATACAGGCTAGCTGTCCGCCGCCACAACGATGAGGTTAGTGTTGATAATCACAAGTTTACTGGAGAACTGAAACTGACAAGGCTGACAAGATAGGACCCTTTTGTCCATTGTTATTGGATAGGAACAGAACTTATAACCAGCTCCTGACCTAAATAGATCTTAGCACAACATTTTACTCAACATATCATATTCCATATTCACTATAACAAATATATTTACTACGACATTAGCAAGAACCGCCACATCCTCAGCCGGCTAATCCAGTGTGTGAAGTTTTGCGGAGTGTTTGAGTTAGCTTTGCGAGGCAAAGATGAAACTGAGGGCTCCACCAACCCTGGTAAGCCAACACTTTTGAGATCAGTCAATAAATGCTTCTGGTATTGACTTATATGCTGCCCCTGTCTTCATGTTGTTGCTGGACATATCTTTTTTTAAATGTGTGTAGGTCACCTAAATCATCAGAAAAATTGCCCCCCCTGAGAATTTTTTCAGGAGCCGCCACTGATTAGGATAATGCCCTTGGCTGCTAGACAATGAAAGAAAGTTTAAAGAAAACCAATAGAACAGGAGAACGCATAATGAGTATGTCTTTATGAAAAATAATTGCCTCCACGTTTCTATGGTGGGTTTTTGACTATAGGCTACTTTAAAGCAAGGTAAGACAGACATGCCTCATAATATGAAGTAAAACGTCCAGGTTTCAAACAATGAAGGAACAGGAAAAATAGAGATGCTAATGATAGACCTAACCGTCTTCTGGTAGATGGAAAGGCTTTGCCAAAAGCCTTCTCTACTAAATGTTAACTAGATACAAAGTAGCCTGTGCCTACCTGTCAGAATGATGTCATGATTATTTGCATCAATCTAGTGCCCATTTCGTTTGCAAACTCCATCTCAGCTAATCAAACAATAGTGTTAGGTGCCTGAATACGCACAGGTTCACAGTAAGTGTTAAACTATTTATATTTATACAAGTATCAAGTGGTAGTGCACGTTTGAAGTCGCTAACTTCATACTCCACTGGAAAACAGTGGATTACATTGTTCAATTTCACAGAATGAAGTTTTTATAAAAAACGACAGACTGCTGCACATAAAGAAAATAATGCCTTTACACGACAAACATAGGTACAAGGTATGCATTAAAGAATGGACATTTTTACAAGTTTCATCTGATACTGACTCGATGTAGTCAGAGGTACACTCTGCCAAAACTAATTGCCACTCAACTCCATTGAGACGTGATTTGATTTGATTTGATTAAAATAAAATAAAATAAAAAACATAGTGGAGTTGAGAATTCTCAGCTAGTACGAACATTGCTTGCTAACCATGCTATCGCTAGTCCCTTCAAACACTGTTACATGTATTTTGTAATCAAAGTCTGGTCAGTCAAAGCATCTGGTTATTATTATTATTTATTTTGAAATGTTTGTATTTCCTCTGTTTGGTAACGCCAACCTGTCCTGTTCTCTACTCACCACCACTGTGAATTGGCTCCTATTTGAGCGGGCCGTTGAAGATAGGCACAGGTTGCAAACCTCGTTATTTGGTTTCTCAGGTGTTTTCATTGTTTATTGGAAATGTTTATGCTAATTGTGCATTTGTTTTCATAAATGTGTTAAGTTTTGACCATTATAATGTTAATTGTAATAACTTTAAAGTGTGTTATTTAGCTGTTTAAAGGTTTTAATGGTTTATGCTAAGTGATATTATTTAGGATTCCCTAATCCTCATTGAGGGCTGTTTGTCAACTTTTTCCTTTGTATTCGAGTCAAGTTATTATATTATTGGCCGAGTAAGTTAAAGGCCAAGTGCAAACGTTTTTATCTCAATATCAAATAATTTCTGTGTAATAATTAAGTAACTTACTGTGATAGTTTCCCATTAAAATTGTCAAAAATAAACAAAAAAAAATATTTTTGCAAAAAAAAAGGAACTATTTCTCAAGTAAGACATTTGCTAGGACTGTCTCAGAGTGGTCTGAGTGGGGAGGGGAAGGCACCAAAGGGATGCCTTAACCACAGAGTGGATCAATCCATCAAAGCAGAGGAGCCTAATGGGAGGAATATGTAACCTGAAACTAGCTGCTATTGGCAGAGGTTTGGATATATTTTGGTTATTGGTCTATTCACCAGGCAAGCCAAAACTCCACCCATGCAAAACCTGCTGATTAGAAGGTCCTGTATAAATTGTATTTTCAACCAGCAACTATCAGAAATAACAGTGATCACATTTTTTCCACACTTTTACATTTACATTACATTTTAGTCATTTAGCAGACGCTCTTATCCAGAGCGACTTACAGTTAGTGAATACATATTTTTTATTAATTTTTTATACTGGCCCCCCGTGGGAATCGAACCCACAACCCTGGCGTTGCAAACGCCATGCTCTATCAACTGAGCTACATCCCTGCCGGCCATTCCCTCCCCTACCCTGGACGACGCTGGGCCAATTGTGCGCTGCCCATGAATTTTACAGTGTTAGTTTCATCAGCTGTTGTACACATATAAAACAAAACACAGGAAAAACTGAATATTGATTGCACTGGGCCTTTAAGTATTTTTGTCATGTTTAAAGTTTGTATATTTTTGTAGATACAACTCTGGATACAGTCTTCTCCATCACCTGCACTATAAATAAATACCACCTATTTCCGCATTTGATCTACTGACGTCTCAACTGTTACTGCTCCACACTGGGTCCTCTATCCTAACACAATGGCATTTACAATTGCATTTACAATCAAAAACAGTGTTCTAATCACTGCAGTCACGTCAGATATTTGAATTCACATGAAAGGAACTCTTAAAATTACACATTATACACAATACATGACAACCCACCTGAGAAGGACATGTTGAAACCTTCATAGGACATGGAGAAGTCTGAGACGAAGCGGAGCTGGGCGCTAAAGTTTCCAAACAGGCCGGCCTTGATGGAGGGGGGCAGGATGGAGCCAGTGAGCCTGGCCACGGGTTCTGTGAAGCTGCCGTCCTCTGTGATGAGGAGATAATCATGGGAGTCCTCCAGGTGGAACGTGTTGAAGAGCAGCTGCACTCCTGGAGAGATTCAGATAAGATTAGACCTCCCTAAGTCACACATCAAAAACCCTGTCTCTACGTCACACCAGCCCTAAGGGAGGGCTGGGGCTTAATGTTGATGAGAATGTAGAGATACATCATTCAAATGGGGTGATGTAGGCCTAGTCACAGCCACTTTTACTCACTTAATGCTGCAACAAATGATTAGTTGGTTCTTACGGTAGAGAGCTATTCATGAGTCTTACCTTTGCCATGAGACACCTCTATTGTCCATGTGCAGTTCAATGAGTTTGGGTAGAAATCAGGAAATCCAGGGGAGAGAATGGTTCCTTTTTTACCAAAGATATAACCACCACACAACGCTAAGGGAAACAAAATGAAACATATTGTGAATGAGGCATTGTTTTTTGAACTCCCATACATTGAGAACATTGAGAACTGAACATTATCAATGATTAATTAATGGAATTTCTTGCATATCAATCAGGGCTTTAAGAAAAATTAATTATAACAGCATTTAAATAAATAAAGATGCAAACGACTATGAGCTCGTATCATTAGATTTTTGATTAGTATGCCAATAGCGCAGAGAACTGCTCGAAGAAATTGCTAAATTAAAAAAAGAGTCCGGGTGGGTTTGAAACCAGAATTTAGGTCAGAGCCTGCAAACAATATCCCTGGGTGTAAGAGAATCTCTTTTGCACTTTGTAAATGTTCTAAACAAACTTTTAGTCGCTCCTCCATGTTATTTGTAGAGACAAACCTGATGACAGTGTGAAAAACAGACGTAGACACATGTTTCTAGATTAAAAGCCTCAGAGTTTACCCAACTAAAGCTGAGTAAAATGAAGACGTGGGTTACTGTATGCTGATAGTGAGTCTGTCTGGGAAGATCAAAAGCAAATGTAATAACCGAGGCAGAATTCTGACAGGAGAGACCCTGTCAGTGGAGACAGTCAGGCAGAGTCGTCGAAACAACAACTTATCACTGCCTTAATTATGAGATGAATAAAAAAGGAAGAACAAGTTAAAGGAATATGCTAATCTATGTTGGCTTCCATGTAAATATTATGCTTTAATTGTTCTTACCATGTTTGCGAAGCATGGAATCTGTAGCATGAATGTAAATGTGAATAGACAAACAGAGGTCCAGAACCTCTAGCCTGTGAGGTTGAAGTCAATCAGTGTTTATAATTGGTGTGAGGATCTGTTAAATGGTATGAAAATAGCTGAAAAATGAAGTAGACATTCCTAAGATAGCACAGGTTCCCATGAACAAATGTATGGAGTTGGCACTTGCAATTATACCCGATTCTGTTGGCTATGGAGATGCTGGTGATTAAATGGGGCTCATGTTGCGCGTGTTATCATACATGCCCAAGGCTACCACTGAAAGTTAATCAGCGAAGATTGTTCTTTTGAGTGTGAGACAAATAAAATCTCATAATTGCATGATATCCCAGCATGCATCTACATATGTACTGAGGTCTGAATCATCCTGTTGGAAGGAAGAGGGGGAGATATTTTTGTTGTACTTGTGAAAAACAAGGTGTACCTTCCACCAAAGTGAGGGATCCTTGGAAATCATTACAAATTACTTCTGGTATAGATATCACAAAGCAGGCCACAAAGGCAGCACAGTATTTTTATGATGAGACATGGATAAGACCAATTGTGGGCGTAAACAATCCATATCTACAGTATCGTCTTTGCCACAATGAAATGGATCATAAAGATGGCCCTGCTCTTAAGAGCTTAAGTCCTGCTTCCACCATAAACACAGCAGTGGGCAGGAGGAGACAGGTGCTCAGGATGCATGACTAGTGGAACATTTCTACGGGAAGTGAAGCATGCATTTCTGCTGCACTTCTAAGAATGAGGGTTCTAAGAATGATACTACAAGAACAAACCATTGATGGATGATCAATGTTATGCTCTGTGATTGTTCATTATTTCTCACCATTTCCAAAAAGTATTGTGCCGTAACCTCCTTCTAATATAAAACATTGTATCTCTTCCTGAAATGAATGGGTGATAAATCCTATTTAATAACCAGATAGCAGCTTTGTCTAGAACAGGAACTGTCTATTGCATATGCCTACAGCCTTGTGAAATGATAGAGTGAGTAAGAGGGACAAATAGGCAAATACAACGGCAGCAAACATTTCACATATCTGAATGGAAATGCCACCACTGTCGAACATGAAGGTCAAGCTCAGAATTACATTTAGAAGAGAACACATTCTGAATCAGACTTGGCTAGAATTGAAAATACAACTGATAAGCTAGTTGTCTGGAGGATGATATTGGGTGTACAAAACCTGATGGTCAAACGCTTTACTCTACTTACTGGAAAGAAATGCTGTACAAGTTTATTTTCAGCCCAAGTAGCGGGAAACAAATGAGATAAACAGTTGGAATAATGTCTTCCTGCAGAATGTCCACCCTGTCTACTGCCTCTCTGACTCTCTGTTGTCTGCCACCCAAAGTTATCTTAGTGTGCATATTCCAGTCACCTCTCCTCTCATCAAGAATTAATGAACTCAGCCCCCTAGGGGAGTCAAAGAGGCTTACCCTTTCCCCCAGATAAGAGAGAGATTCGTTAGCAGGGCGTTGTGTCTCCCACATCTCACTCTGTGAATGTGATGGGGAGTGTGAGGAGAAGGCTGAGTAAGTGCTGCCATGCATGTCAGTGCAGCTGACAGGAACAGGAAAAAGGAGAGGATGGAAGGAAGGGTTGGGCGGGGCTAGATGGGATACACTACCATCACAGCTGGGCAGTGCGTGGTTCCACTGATGGTTCCTCTCACACACGATGGGTTCCACATCGCTCAGCGTGTAGCCTTGATCACAGCTGAATGTCACCCTGGAGCCAATGGCAAAATTGTTCCCATGCCGCTTTCCATTGACCGGGATCCCAGGATCTAAGCAGGAATCTGTTTCCATCATAACGCCTTTGGGGATAGAAAGAACTATTTCATTCCACCTTCAGGCTCTAAATGTAATAGAGAATGGTGTCAAAATTGCTCTTTACTGTATAAATCATGAGGGGGAGCCACAAGTTATCTCTCATTTTCCCTCTCATTCCATTTCATCCCTTGGTGGAGGGTTGTCCTCATAGAAAATATTGTAATAATAATCAAATGTATATTTTATTAATGAGTTTTTCCCAATAGCATACATTAAATGTTTATAAAGCACAATAGATGTCATTAACAATTTCCAGCCATCTGTCTGGACTTGGTAGTCAGGTCTCATCCCTGCTTACTTAATAACGACAGCCAGCATTGTACTATAGTAATTACGGTTAGGTTAATATAGGAAACATTTATGGCATACATTTTTTGTTAGTATATAGTATGAAAGCTTGATTAGAGTAAGGATGTACTAAAAGGACAGTATACAGTGCATTCGGAAAGTATTCAAACCCCTTGACCTTTTCCACATGTTGTTACGTTACAGCCTTATTCTAAAATGGATTTAATAAAAACATGTTCTAATCAATCTACACACAATACCCCATAATGACAAAGTGAAAACAGGTTTTTAGATATTTTGGCAAAACAGAAATACCTTATTTACATAAGTATTCAGACCCTTTGCTATGAGACTCGAAATTGAGCTCAGGTGCATCCTGTTTCCATTGATCATCCTTGAGATGTTTCTACAACTTGGAGTCCACCTGTGGTAAATTCAATTGATTGGACATGATTTGGAAAGGCACACACCTGTCTATATAAGGTCCCACAGTTGACAGTGCATGTCCGAGCAAAAACCAAGCCATGAGGTTGAAGGAATTGTCCATAGAGCTCCGAGACAGGATTGTGTCGAGGCACAGATCTGGGGAAGGGTACCAAAACATTTCTGCAGCATTGAAGGTCCCCAAGAACACAATGGCCTCCATCATTCTTAAATGGAAGAAGTTTGGAACCACCAAGACTCTTCCTAGAGCTGGCCCGGGGGAGAAGGGCCTTGGTCAGAGAGGTGACCAAGAACCCGATTGTCACTATGAAAAAGCTCCAGAGTTCCTCTGTGGAGATGGGAGAACCTTCCAGAAGGACAACCATCTCTGCAGCAGTCCACCAACCAGGCATTTATGGTAGAGTGGTCAGACGGAAGCCACTCCTCAGTAAAAGGCACATGACAGCCCACCTGGAGTTTGCCAAAAGGCAACTAAAGGACTCAGACCATGAGAAACAAGATTCTCTGGTCTGATGAAACAAAGATTGAACACTTTGGTCTGAATGCCAAGCATCACGTTTGGAGGAAACCTGGCACCATCCCTACGGTGAAGCATGGTGGTGGCAGCATCATGCTGTGGGGAAGTTTTTCAGAGGCAGGGACTGGGAGACAGGATCGAGGGAAAGATGAATGGCGCAAAGAACAGAGAAATCCTTGATGAAAACCTGCTCCAGAGCGCTCAGGACCTCCGACTGGGGTGAAGGTTCACCTTCCAACAGCACAACGACCCTAAGCACACAGCCAAGACAACGCAGGAGAGGCTTCAGGACAAGCCTCTGAATGTCCTTGAGTGTCCCAGCCAGAGCCCGGACTTGAACCCGATCGAACATCTCTGGACAGACCTGAAAATAACTGTGCAGCAACGCTCCCCCTCCAACTTGACAGAGCTTGAGAGGATCTGCAGAAAATAATGGGAGAAACTCCCCAAATACAGGTGTGCCAAGCTTGTAGCGTCCTACCCAAGAAGACTCGAGGCTGTAATCGCTGCCAAAGGTGCTTTAACAAAGTACTGAGTAAAGGTTCTGAATACTTATGTAAATGTGTTATTTCAGTTGTTTTTTTTAAATACATTTGCTAAAAAATCTATAAACCTGTTTTTGCTTTGTCGTTATGGGGTATTGTGTGTAGATTGATGAGAGAAAAAAACAGTTGAATCCATTTTAGAATAAGGCTGTAACGTAAAACAAAATGTGGAAAAAGTCAGGGGGTCTGATTACTTTCTGAATGTACTGTATAATATTATTTGGAGGAAGAATTTGGCTAGCTATTTTACAACACTATTGAATTGTTGATAGATTACTAAATCATCTTATTGCAAATGACAGCCTAGTGTGTCACGGATGCCGCCGAGGCTGCTCCTCCTCCTTGCTCGGGCAGGCTTCGGCGTTCGTCGTCCCCGGAGTACTAGCTACTGCCGCTCGATGTTTCGATGTTTGTCTTGTATTGTCTAGTTGGTACACCTGTTTCGTATTCTGTATTGATTATGTACCATATGAGTTCCCTTGTTTTATGTTTGCCTTTGTGTGTTATTGTCCGCGTCTCTTGTATGTATGTTCGGCATTGACCATCTTGTTTATTACGCACTCCGCGTACATTTCTCCTCTTGTGTTTGCAGGCTTTTGTTTTGTGCGTATTCTACTTTGGAAAGTAAAGTAGTCATTACTGATCCTCTGTGTCCTGCGCCTGACTTCACCGCTGTATGGCGGTGACCGAGTCACTGGAGGATCGGGTCAGCAGCCAGGACGCCATGATCCATAGACTCGGCTCCGCCATACAAGACGTGATGGACACCCTGCGCCGATGGGAAAGAGGAGGCTTGCCCACACCTCCTCCTACATTACCACCACCATCGGCCAGCCCCATCGTACCATCTCCGGAGTTCAGTGGGATTCGGCTCTCGCTCCCGAGGGCATATGATGGCACCGCAGCCGGGTGTCAGGGTTTCCTACTTCAAGTGGAACTCTACCTGGCAACCATACACCCGGCGCCCTCGGGATACGAGAGCGTTTCCGCCCTCATCTCCTGTCTATCCGGCAAGGCTTTGGAGTGGGCCAATGCCGAATGGAGGGGAATAGACGCCGCCACCATCAGCTACGCAGAGTTCTCCCGCCGCTTCAGGGCTGTTTTCGATCATCCCCCAGAGGGTAAAGCGGCGGGGGAGCGTCTGTTCCACCTCCGACAGAGGAAGAGGAGCGCACAAGAGTTCGCCCTGGACTTCCGGACTCTAGCGGCGGATGCGGGGTGGAATGAGAGGGCCCTCATCAACCACTATCGGTGCAGCCTGCGAGAGGACGTTCGACGAGAGTTGGCCTGCAGGGACACCAATCTAAACTTCGATCAGTTGGTGGACATGTCGATCCGTCTGGATACCCTGCTGGCTACCCGCGGACGTCCGGAGTTGGGGCCGTCCATTCCATTCCCCAGCACCTCCGAGCCGAGCCCTATGGAGCTCAGGGGTGCTGGCGCTAGAGAGAGGAGGAGAGAGATCCGGAGGGAGGCCGTCCTCTGCACCAACTGTGGCCGTAGAGGACACACTGCGGTTCGGTGCTGGGGAGGGTCTCCAGGGGATCGAGGCAACAGGTCACGCACTGGGGAGTCATTCCAGGTGAGTAGGCGCCCAACTCACCCAGAGCTCTCTGTTGTTCACCTGTGTATACAAGTAGTATTTCCCCAGGTTGCATCTCATTCCCAGGCGCTAGTCGATTCAGGCGCAGCTGGGAATTTTATTGATCGTAATTTTTGTGTTAAGTTAGGGATTCCCCTCCTACCAGTAGATGTGCCCTTTCCTATTCATGCCCTAGATAGCCGTCCGTTGGGATCTGGGTTGATTAGGGAGGTCACAGCGCCACTAAAGATGAGGACGCAGGGGGGTCATGAGGAGATCATTCAGTTGTATCTGATCGACTCTCCTGCGTATCCCGTGGTGCTGGGACTTCCTTGGTTAATCTCCCATGACCCCACCATTTCGTGGCAACAGAGGGCTCTCAAGGAGTGGTCTGACCAGTGTGTCGGGCGGTGTCTAGGTGTTTCCGTAGGGGCGACCACGGTGGAAAGTCCGAACCAAATGCCCGCACTGCACATTCCTCCTGAGTATGATGATTTGGCACTCGTGTTCAGTAAGACGAGGGCGACGCGATTGCCACCTCATAGACAGGGGGATTGTACGATAGACCTCCAGGCAGGTGCTGCACTTCCGCGTAGTCATGTGTATCCTCTGTCTCAAGAGGAGACGGCGGCTATGGAGACATACATAGCCGAGTCTCTGAGACAGGGATACATACGGCCCTCCACTTCTCCTGCGTCCTCGAGTTTCTTTTTTGTGAAGAAGAAGGATGGAGGGTTGCGCCCGTGTATTGATTACCGTAGTCTCAATCAGATCACTGTTAAATACAGTTATCCTCTCCCTCTGATTGCGAGTATGACGGAATCATTACACGGAGCGCGTTTCTTCACAAAACTGGATCTCAGGAGCGCCTACAACTTGGTGCGCATTAGGGAGGGAGATGAATGGAAGACAGCATTTAGTACCACCTCGGGTCACTATGAGTATCTCGTCATGCCATACGGGTTAATGAATGCTCCTTCAGTCTTCCAATCCTTTGTGGACGAGATCTTCCGGGATTTGCATGGGCAGGGTGTAGTGGTGTATATTGACGACATTCTAGTTTACTCTTCTACACGAGCCAAGCATGTAGCCCTGGTGCGTCGAGTGTTGGGTAGGCTGTTGGAGCATGACTTGTATGTCAAGGCAGAGAAATGTCTGTTTTTCCAGGAGTCCATCTCCTTCCTGGGCCATCGGTTGTCCGCGTCAGGGGTGGAGATGGAGATTGACCGCGTTTCAGCCGTGCGTAATTGGCAGACGGTTAAGGAGGTGCAGCGGTTTTTGGGTTTTGCCAATTACTACCGGAGGTTTATCCGGGGTTTTGGACAGGTAGCAGCTCCCATCACCTCCCTGCTGAAGGGGGGCCCGGTGCGTTTGCAGTGGTCGGCTGAGGCGGACAGGGCGTTTGGACAACTGAAGGACCTGTTCACCTCAGTTCCGGTGCTGGCGCATCCGGACCCCACTTTAGCGTTCCATGTGGAGGTGGACGCGTCAGAGGCCGGTATTGGGGCTGTACTGTCTCAACGCTCAGGCACGCCTCCTAAACTCCAGCCCTGCGCTTTTTACTCGAAGAAGCTCAGCCCGGCGGAACGTAATTATGACGTGGGGGACAGGGAGCTGCTAGCCGTGGTTCAAGCCCTAAAGGTGTGGAGGCATTGGCTTGAGGGGGCTCAACACCCTTTTCTCATTCTGACTGACCATCGTAACCTGGAGTACATCCGGGCAGCTAGGAGACTGAACCCTCGTCAGGCTAGGTAGGCCATGTTTCTGGCCCGGTTTGTTTTTAAGCTCACTTACATCCCAGGGTCCCAGAACGGTAAGGCAGACGCCCTGTCCCGGCGATATGACACAGAGGAGAGGTCCATTGAGCCCACTCCCATACTGCCGGAGTCTTGTCTGGTGGCACCGGTGGTGTGGGAGGTCGATGCGGAAATCGAGCGGGCGTTACGTACCGACCCTACTCCTCCAGAGTGTCCAGCGGGGAGGACGTACGTTCCGCTCGAGATTCGTGATCGTCTCAATTATTGGGCTCATATGTCACCCTCCTCTGGACATCGTGGTATTGGCCGGACAGTGCACTGCCTTAGTGAAAAGTACTGGTGGCCAACATTGGCTAAGGACGTGAGGGTTTATGTCTCCTCCTGCTCGGTATGCGCTCAGTGTAAGGCGCCTAGACACCTGCCCAGGGGGAAGTTACAACCCCTACCCGTTCCACAACGGCCGTGGTCTCACCTATCGGTAGACTTTGTCATGGACCTTCCCCCTTCCCAGGGGAATACCACTACTCTGGTCATTGTGGATTGGTTCTCTAAGGCCTGTCACCTCATCCCAATGCCGGGTCTCCCTACTGCCCTACAGACTGCTGAGGCTTTGTTTACCCACGTCTTCCGGCACTACGGGGTACCCGAGGATATAGTGGTAACGCCAAGGTAGTGGGTTCGATCCCCGGGACCACCCATACACAAAAAAATGTATGCACGTATGACTGTAAGTCGCTTTGGATAAAAGCGTCTGCTAAATGGCATATTATTATTATTATTATTATATAGTGTCTGATCGGGGTCCCCAATTCACCTCTAGAGTCTGGAGGGCGTTCATGGAACGCTTGGGGGTCTCGGTTAGCCTTACCTCGGGTTTCCACCCTGAGAGTAATGGGCAGGTGGAGAGAGTGAACCAGGATGTGGGTAGGTTTCTGAGATCTTATTGCCAGGACCGGCAGGAGGAGTGGTCGGGGTATATCCCCTGGGCAGAGATCACCCAGAACTCCCTTCGCCATTCCTCTACGAATCTGACCCCTTTCCAGGGTGTGTTGGGGTATCAGCCGGTTCTGGCACCATGGCATCAGAGCCAGATCGAGGCTCCTGCGGTGGATGAGTGGTTTCGGCGCTCGGAGGAGACATGGAACGCTGCGCATTTACATCTGCAGCGGGCTATCTGTAGGCAGAAGGCGAGCGCCGATCTCCACCGCAGTGAGGGTCCTGTGTACGCACCTGGAGATGGAGTCTGGCTCTCGACTCGAAACCTGCCCCTTCGCCTGCCCTGCCGGAAGCTGGGTCGGCGGTTTGTGGGGCCATTTAAAGTCCTGAGGAGATTGAACGAGGTATGTTACAGGTTACAACTGCCTAATGATTATCACATTAACCCCTCGTTCCATGTGTCTCTCCTCCGGCCGGTGGTAGCTTTTCCACTCCAGGACAATGAGATACGGGAGACTCCTCCGCCCCCACTGGACATCGAGGGGGCTCCGGCGTATTCAGTCCGGTCCATCGTGGATTCGAGACGTCGGATGGAGGGTCTGCAGTATCTCGTGGAGTGGGAGGGGTACGGTCCGGAGGAACGGTGCTGGGTGCCTAGGAGGGACATTTTAGATCCCTCCATCCTGACGGAGTTCCACCGGAGTCATCCCACGCGCCCTGCTCCGCGTCCTCCTGGCCGTCCCCGAGGCCGGGGTCGGCGCACGGCTGGAGCCGCGCGTCAAGGGGGGGGGTACTGTCACGGATGCCGCCGAGGCTGCTCCTCCTCCTTGCTCGGCAGGCTTCGGCGTTCGTCGTCCCCGGAGTACTAGCTACTGCCGCTCGATGTTTCGATGTTTGTCTTGTATTGTCTAGTTGGTACACCTGTTTCGTATTCTGTATTGATTATGTACCATATAAGTTCCCTTGTTTTATGTTTGCCTTTGTGTGTTATTGTCCGCGTCTCTTGTATGTATGTTCGGCATTGACCATCTTGTTTATTACGCACTCCGCGTACATTTCTCCTCTTGTGTTTGGAGGCTTTTGTTTTGTGCGTATTTTACTTTGGAAAGTAAAGTAGTCATTACTGATCCTCTGTGTCCTGCGCCTGACTTCACCGCCGCATACACCTCAGCATTTGACATAGTGCTATCACTGGTGATGTAATAAAGTTACATCTCATGAGCTAAATGTCATGAGGTTGGCCTTTGTAATCACCAATTATTTGGCATTTAAATCACAGTCCTGTTCAGGCAACAGCACTAATGATGACAAGTTATCAAAAATAAGTGTCAATCTAATTTCACAGCTCCTACACCACTTCAGTAATATTGAAATGGTGTAGGAGCTGTGAAATTAGATTTACACTTCTTGTGATCACAACACCCACCACACGAGTCAATATTGACATCAGCAGCACACACATGAAAGCGATATTCCAGTTGTAGCCATGAAACAATGTGTGGATTGCAAACACAATGTCCTCAGCTTTTCAAAGGTAGCCCTGTGGATACATTTCAAATTGAAAACCGTAGAACTCACTGTCATAGCGGATCTGGAAGCCCACGCTGGAGCGACTGTTGTCCGTGGTGAATAGCAGGTACATGTAATTACTGGTGCTAATGAGAAAATGGGGCGCCTGAGTGCCATGATACTCTCCGATTAAAGGAGAGGAGTTGGAGGGGCCATCCCGAATCTCCAGTGTGTCATAATTAACCTCCGTCTGGAATCTACATAGAAATAGACAAAAAAGGAGGGAAAAGGGAAGTGAATTAGAAGCTACTATTCCAGGCAGGCAATTGTATGTAGCCAATCATGGCAGATTATCTCAAACTGAATGATTGTGTGAAATTGAAATAGCTGCATCAGTGATAAGATACATTCTAAACAAAATAGGGAAACCTGTCAAAGGATATCTTGATGGCGTGATCTTTGCTGGCTTCAATAACCCATTCACAGTTCAAAGAATCTTTGTAGAATCCCGGCCAGCCAGGGGACAGCAGAACTCCGGTTGGAGCTGTTAAATGTCCCCCACAAGGTGCTATAGGGGAAAGTATCATCTTAGTGGCAACTGACATGTTCTGAGCTTACAAGTTTATATGCAACAGTATGCAGAATTTAACAGTATAGACTGGGTATACTTTACTACTTGTAGAATTGTAGCATACTTTCAGTGGCTCTACAATGTTTCACCAAATGACAACAATGATATGCCCAGTGCCCACCCACTCCAACCCAAGGGAGTCAGGATGACATTGGCAGATTCCACTGGCTATTCATAGGATTATATGGATTATTGTGCAACATTATACAGTACCTTCACACCGAGGAACTGCTGCATTCCACACTACGTTTCCATCCTGAATGATGCAGGTTATGGATTCAGACCCATGGGTTTTGATGAAGCCTTCATCACATGTGAAGAGCACGGAGCTCCCCAGCAAGAAGTGCTCCCCATACCGCTGGCCATTGACAGGGATGCCGGGGTCGTGGCATTCATTCTGACCAAATGCTAGAGAGGAAAATAAAACTGGTTTCAGTGTTTTTCAGTGATTTCAGTGTTTTCTGTGCTGTTGTTTTTTAATCAATAAGAAGATATCAAACTGGATTCGGTGTCACATTTAACTCATGTGTCTTATCCCAGAGAACATTATGAAAACCTGGTTAATTATTTACTAATTGAGAATAGATGCTAATCAGGCAACAACATGAACACAGCACAGTGGCGAAGACTGACGCCATGAAGGCAACACTTTCATTTCCCTGCCTCATTGTCAATACACGCCTGCTCGCTGACAGTGACTCCCCACACCAGATTGGAAGACATGTCCCTCTCCTCCTGACACGGTGACACACCAGTTCCATGGTGCTATTGTGTTGCCACACCACAGGCTCCCCCGCCATCCCCATCACATGGCTGACACCTCCACGCCAAAAACACATCCCTGTCTTAGTCACTCCCCCGCCATCCCCATCACATGGCTGACACCTCCACGCCAAAAACACATCCCTGTACTAGGCACTCCCCCGCCTCCCCATCACATGGCTGACACCTCCACGCCAAAAACACATCCCTGTCTTAGTCACTCCCCCGCCATCCCCATCACATGGCTGACACCTCCACGCCAAAAACACATCCCTGTCTTAGTCACTCCCCCGCCATCCCCATCACATGGCTGACACCTCCACGACAAAAAACCATCCCTGTCTTAGTCACTCTCCCACCGTGACAGGAGGGTCCAGCGGGTGCAGGCAGAGGAATATTTTATTTATTTTTATTATTTTTTGGGGTAATACTTTATGGGGTAATATTTTATGAAGTTGGCTTTAGCTAGCCCAGACAGGTTCCCAATCTCCCAACGTCATAACTAGCTACCAATAAGCCATTTCTGGCTATCAATCAAGTTAGAGTTGCTAGCTTGTCTAACTATCTTAGCTGGAATGCCTGCTGGCAAGGTTGGTAGACTTTAGAACAAGTAATAACTAAATATACTAAATAAGACTGACATTCCTTTCAATCTTTTACCAAGATTTTAGCAGAGATGCAGAGAAGCATATTTAGTTTCTTTAAAAAAAGAACTACCAATGAATAGCCCCCCTCCAGACCACCTCCCCCAGCCATCCTCACATACTTTGTGCCCCTTCAGATTTTTGGGGTGCATGACGCCCCTGGATGCAGATGGATATGCGGAATAAGAACGGTAACAACATCCTCCTCCATTTCATTAACCTTTCCCACCACTGCAGCCTGCCTCTGTTACTCTTCCTCCAAAGAAATCCAGGATCTGCGGAGAGACATGTCTCTACATAGTCTACCCGGCCAGGAGAGTTCAAGAACAGAATGTGTCCTAGAGATAGCAAACAGGAACTGGGGACAGCAATACTCAGACCTAATTTCAGCTCAGTATGGCACAAGCATAATTCCATTAACACTGGGCACAGCTGGATCAGTTCAATATTTTTGTGCTACAGAGTGTATTTCGAGGCAGAGAACATGAACAGACCTCTACCATTACTGTTTACTGTTTCATGATAATGTCTCTAAATTATCAGCAGAAAAGGGCAAATATATTTAATGTTTACCTTCAAGGTTCGGAATTGCCTTGCAGTATTATTGTTTTTCTTATCTCGTGTTTACAGATAAAAAATGTTGGAGGCCAACTGGACAGACAAATTTGCATGAAAATATGCATTAAAATGTTAGGATTGTAAATTATTAAAATGACAAACATTCCCAAGGCCCCTTTAAACAGTGTAGTATTGAGAGAAAAGGGCCAAATTAGTATTTCATTTGTCATAATGTCATCTGTGTGAAATCTTTTCATTGAATTCATTGAATTCATAGGTAACTTATATATTGACCAGTTAATCAAACGTAATATAATTAATAATAATTAAAATGGGATGTTGCTGGTTTTAATTATAGGGAAAACATAGATTTGTCTACAGTCGTGGTCAAAAGTTTTGACAATGACACAAATATTAATTTTCACAAAGTCTGCTGCCTCAGTTTTTATGATGGCAATTTGCATATACTCCAGAATGTTATGAAGAGTGATCAGATGAATTGCAATTAATTGCAGAGTCCCTCTTTGCCATGAAAATGAACTTAATCCCCAAAAAACATTTCCACTGCATTTCAGCCCTGCCACAAAAGGACCAGCTGACATCATATCAGTGATTCTCTCGTTAACACAGGTGAGAGTGTTGACTAGGACAAGGCTGGAGATCACTCTGTCATGCTGATTGAGTTAGAATAACAGACTGGAAGCTTTAAATAGAGGGTGGTGCTTGAAATCATTGTTCTTCCTCTGTTACCATGGTTACCTGCAAGGAAACACCTGCCGTCATCATTGCTTTGCACAAAAAGTGCTTCACAGGCAAGGATATTGCTGCTAGTAAGATTGCACCTAAATCAACCATTTATCGGATCATCAAGAACTTCAAGGAGAGAGGTTCAACTGTTGTGAAGAAGGCTTCAGGGTGCCCAAGAAAGTCCAGCAAGCGCCAGGACCGTCTCCTAAAGTTGATTCAGCTGCGGGATTGGGGCACCACCAGTGCAGCGCTTGCTCAGGAATGGCAGCAGGCAGGTGTGAGTGCATCTGCACACACAGTGAGGCGAAGACTTTTGGAGGATGGCCTGGTGTCAAGAAGGGCAGCGAGGAAGACACTTCTCTCCAGGAAAAACATCAGGGACAGACTGATATTCTGCAAAAGGTACAGGGATTGGACTGCTGAGGACTGGGGTAAAGTCATTTTCTCTGATGAATCCCATTTCCGATTGTTTGGGGCATCCGGAAAAAACCTTGTCCGGAGAAGACAAGGTGAGCGCTACCATCAGTTCTGTGTCATGCCAACATTAAAGCATCCTGAGACCATTCATGTGTGGAGTTGCTTCTCAGCCAAGGGAGTGGGATCACTCACAATTTTGCCTAAGAACACAGCCATGAATAAGGAATGGTACCAACACATCCTCCGAGAGCAACTTCTCCCAACCATCCAAGAACAGTTTGGTGACGAACAATGTCTTTTCCAGCATGATGGAGCACCTTGCCATAAGGCGATAACTAAGTGGCTCTGGGAACAAAACATCAACATTTTGGGTCCATAGCCAGGAAACTCCCCAGACCTTAATCCCATTGAGAACTTGTGGTCAATCCTCAAGAGGCGGGTGGACAAACAAAAACCCACAAATTCTGACAAACTCCAAGCATTGATTATGCAAGAATGGGCTGCCATCAGTCAGGATGTGTTCCAGAAGTTAATTGACAGCATGCCAGGGTGGATTGCAGAGGTCTTGAAAAAGAAGGGTCAACACTGCAAATATTGACTCTTTGCATAAACTTAATGTAATTGTCAATAAAAGCCTTTGACATTTACGGAATGCTTGTAATTATACTTCAGTATGCCATAGTAACATCGGACAAAAATATCTAAAAACACTGAAGCAGCAAACTTTGTGAAGACCAATATTTGTGTCATTCTCAAAACTTTTGACCACGACTGTACACAGGGTAATGTATTGTATGGCCATACAAATTGTTAAATAGAATGATGCCACCCACTTCTAGCTAATGAGTCTCCATTCTCAGATAGGGATCCTCTAATTGAAATCAGACTTTAACATTAAAATGTGCTTTGTTAATAATTCTGATTCCTAACTTCCCTTGTAAGAGTATACCTGATTGAACACATATGAAAAGACACTATAGATACCCCTTGACTCAGTATTTGTGCCACAGGCAGTTCTGAATTGCATAACAGAAGACATTGTGAGGGGCCCAGAGTCTGCAATATATAGCAAAATCGCAAATAGCTTTAGAAGGAAGGGCCATTTACTTGTATAAGTGATGTTAAATCCTTTCCCAGTGTTGGAGTGGTCAGACTGGAACTCCAGGCGCATGATGTGTCCATTGCTGGCTATCTGAGAGGGTACATCCTTCCCGGAGAACGTGCCGAACGTGGTGGGCTCCGACATCCCGTCGTCTTTCACAATGAGGTAGTCAAACTGGGGCTCTACCTCAAAGTCGCTGAAAATTAGATGAATCCTGCTCCCTGGCTCTGCGATAATAAGCCACACACAGTTCATGTTGTTCCCATACTCCTCGGGGTAGTTGGGGGAGAGGATTATTCCTGATGGGGTGGTGAAATTGAAGAAGCAGGAAACTGCAAAAATAGATAGGGGCACACACACAGATCTGCCATCATGCTTTGATGCAGCACACAGTGAGATAAATTAGCTCTTTTATAAGACATTTTGTTTGAAATGGTTGGGAATCATGCTTTCCTTTGAATTCTTCAGGTGCCACACATTCTATTAACTGCACCAGGTGGAAGAATATAACCCAGTGTCATGACAGTAGAGAGGCTATCAACCAAGAGCTGACTGCCCTTGGCTGTATAGCTGCTTAACCCTGGTGTCAGCCTGCATGCCAGAGAGAGGGTGAACTGAAAATATTGAACTCTACTAACTAACAATACAGACTTACCTGCAACAGAAGCTCTTACTTTAAATAAAAAATAAACTCTTGAGGCCTCTGTATAGAAACTGTAATTCATAAGCTCAGTGAGCAATGTCTAAATGACGGGAGTAATGATCTTTGAATTGTATAGCTCCAAAATGGACAGTGGGGAGTGTTGACCAAGCGACAACAAATCCCAGAGATGATGACGGCTTTACATGTGTCAGGGGGTATAGTCATACCACCTTCCTTCAGACTGTTGGGACTATGTAGGTGTATCAGATGGATATATCTAAATGAGAGCGCTGTTAATTAAAGTCATACATTTTGAAATGGAGTCTTACACAAGCAGCTGGGTTTGTTTCCAGACCACTGGTTGTTTTGCTGGCATGATATCGTTCTCTCGCCGACCAACTCAAAGGCCGCCTGACACTCGAACGTCAGCATGTCGCCGTGTAAAAAACGCTCCCCCGATCTTCTGCCGTAGGCCGGGATGCCAGGATCCCCACACCCTCCTTTGTCGATTTCTGCAACAAAGTGTTACCATGTTCAAGTTCATTCAGTGGTTTCAATTCCCAAGGACATCTGGTTAGTTGCTCTTAGGGTTGAATGTCCTAAAACTGACATCCACTGAGCAATCTTCAGATCCTGAAAACGTAACATGACAGCTTTCCTCTAACACAACATTCCTTACACAAGTACAATCATCTTAGAACCATCGATATAATCCAATAGAAAACAAGACAGCGAGAGCAATATACCGGCATGCCAACTGTTGTCTATTTCCTCTACATGTTCAGGTGCATTTTCTAGCAGGAGCAAAATGACGTTCTGGAAGAGTTAATTTTTTGTGTTAACAACCAGCGTGCCAGCTCAGTAGCTATCGCTCCACTGGCCCAGCTGAGCAATAATCTACAGGGGATGAGTTTAATTCCAGCATCACATTCAACAACCTTTGTGAGATGTTAAGTGCCGGTTAAATACCTTTGGAGCTGCCAAGAGCAATTAGTTGAGGGATCTATGCGTAGGCTCCACAATCAGGTTAAGGGCATATCAGCCCGATCGCAACCGTGATGGAGATGTAAAATGTCTTACTAAGGATATACTGTACCATGCTCTTAAACACTAATATGCAAAAAGTGGCTGTCCATCGCTGAATTTATTGTCCAATAACCTAAATTATGATGAGCTGGGAGTCAAATCAGATGTCCAGGACATGTTTACCATTTACATGCATATTGTGGGTGAAATTACAAACATTGAAGAAATAGTAAGCAGGAGATAACATTAAAATATGTGCCATTGATGTACACAGTGGTCTGTTTCAGAGTTAATCAAACATTTCAGAGATGTCATAAACAACTCAAAGCATCATATCAATGTCCACACAACAAATAACAGAGAAATGTTTGTAATTTCTCTTTATACTCTCTCGGTTTCACTGTTTTCTGGGATATATACTGCATGTTAAAAATATATAGATATACACTAACGGTCAAAAGTTTTAGAACTACTCATTCAAGGGTTTTTCTTTATTTTTACTATTTTCTACATTGTAGAATAATAGTGAATACATCAAAACTATGAAATAACACATGGAATGATGTAGTAACCAAAAAAGTGTTAAACAAATCAAAATATATTTTATATTTGAGATTCTTCAAATAGCCACCCTTTTCCCTGATTACAGCTTTCCACACTCTTGGCATTCTCTCAACCAGCTTCATGAGGTAGTCACCTGGAATGGATTTAAATTAATCAGGTGTGCCTTCTTAAAAGTTAAAAGCGATACGCCATCTCATCTGGTTTGGGCTTAGCGCGACTATCATTTAATTTTCAACAGGACAATGACCCAACACACCTCCAGGCTGTGTAAGGGCTATTTGACCAAGGAGAGTGATGGAGTGCTGCATCAGATGAGCTGGCCTCCACAATCACCCGACCTCAACCAAATTAAGATGGTTTGGGATGAGTTGGACCGCAGAGTGAAGGAAAAGCAGCCAACAAGTGTTCAGCATTTGTGGGAACTCCTTCAAGACTCCTTCAAGCATTCCAGGTGAAGCTGGTTGAGAGAATGCCAAGAGTGTGCAAATCTGTAATCAAGGCAAAGGGATGCTATTTGAAGAATCTCAAATATATAATATATTTTGATTTGTTTAACACTTTTTTGGTTACTACATGATTCCATATGTGTTTTTTCATAGTTTTGATGTCTTCACTATTATTCTACAATGTAGAAAATAGTCAAAATAAATAACAACCCTTGAATGAGCAGGTGTTCTAAAACTTTTGACAGGGAGTGTATATTTATATAAGAGACTGTAGTTCCACCGAATAAAGCTCAGTGAATAAAGCTCATGTTTCCATTTTTCCATAGCAACGGGTTTACTTGGCTCTGATCTCGCATTGTAATGTATCTGGAAATGCATGACAACAAAAACACACTTTTGTTCCCTCTTATACAGCCCTCTTGTGAGACATCCCTCAAAATACATTATCTCGCAATGAGCCCACCTTACCCTGTTGTATGACAGAAAATCGGAATCATGTCACAGAATAAATAAGAAATATGCCCATAGAATGTGCTACAGGAAGGAATTAAAGAAGGAAATCAAGTACAAGTTAGGGGTAACTACAGTATTTACTAGGAGCCTCTGCCTAAAGGAAATGCTTACCGGCTTACAAAGTGAGTTTGATGGTATTATGTAATTATTCGAATACTTAATACTTAACGTTCATTATTTTCTGTGGAGATTTACTGATTTATATGTATCTATAGACAGTCTTTAGAACATATCTTTTTTATTAGTATGTCTTATTGGGATACCATGATTCTCTTCCCTCTAACTGATTGCTTCATCATTTACACAAGCAATTACTTATGGGTTATGAATGTTTCAAATAGTTCATATATAGGTATCACTTGGTGTTGCCAGCATTTCTCACACAGATGTAATTATATGATGCATAATACAGGTGAACAAGGCTGACTGAATACTCCCCCAGATACAGTAGACATGGACACCTACTGTATGGGGCCCCCTGACAATAAGTCCCACTTCTTGTACTCAGTGGTTTTGCTGTCAAACATGGTACCCGGACGGTAGGCACTAGTGTGAAATTGGGTTTACACAAAGTTAATTGAGGTGGTGTCATTGTGCAGGGTTATGCATTTTGTTGAGCTGTCAATTGTGCAAACTGTCAGTGTGACAATATAAAGTAAGGGTTGAGACTTGTGTATGAAGGGGTAATAGTAACATCTTAATTAATCTCTAAATGGAAAGTTGATGGTGGTGACAACAGACTTTCCGTACAATGTTTCCACACAAAATATTTTATTGAATAGGGGCCTAAGTAAACTGTACTTCAGTATGTATCAGTAACGAAAATCTCTTCCACTCTCACAGCATGACACTACTTTAATGTGGGTCTGACTTTGCCAGAGTGGCACACTGTGCCCAGTCAACACATGACTTATTAGTGCAAGTTCATTGCTATTCGTCAGTTGGAAGGAATTAGTCCGACCATCTGATACTGGAAATGAATTACCGTTTATGCTGGTGGAAGCAAATTCTGCACATTAGTGTTTATTGAAACAGATGCTTAGATATATTCATAGAACTTTGCTTTGATGTTATTTGGTAGCCTATCCAAAACCAGCCAGTGCATTTCATTTGGAGAACTCTAACATATCAGTGTCTGTGTCAAGCACATATGCTGACCCATTTGCTTTAATCTTTCGCTGAATCTATAGAATTTATGACTTGGCTGGGCATACAGTGAACATTCTACAGGGTGTAAAGAAATTCACATATAGTTGACTAGTTACAAGGACATGCTGGGCAGACCAACACATATCTTTCATATCATATTTTATGTATGCGGAAAAGTGGCACCAACTATGAGACTCAAATAAGCATGGCCTCAACATGAAATGGTAGATGTACAGGGTTTAAAACCGGACCAAATCCATTTTTTGGCAGACCATTGTATATGTTCTCAAAGAGTATGGAAAGCATACCTTCATATAGGGCCTTGAACCCTTGGGACCCAATGGTGTCATCAGACTGGAGATGGAGCCACATCTGGTTGCTCATACTGACTATCAGGTCAGGAACACTGGACCCTGTCAGCCTGAAACACATCACATGGAACTCAATGACTCATTGACTTATTGTCTCTTACTCACATCAGAAGCTCGATTTATTGTTTTTATGCTCCAAAAGCTTTGGCCAGTATTTTCAAGTAAAGGGTAAATGTGTATTAATTACATGACAATTATGTTCAATGTATTATCTGAATAACTGCACAATGTATTGTCCTATTTCATCTGTGTAGACTAGAGCATGCAGTAGTAGGTCTGTGTAACTTTAAAAAAATCATACAGTGAATGCTGGAGGGATAGTCAGAGATAGTAAATGATAAATTCAGGGTACTCACACATAGAGCACTCTCCTGGCATCGCCAATCTTCCCTCCATCCCCCACTGTTAGCGTGTCATATCCTCTCTCAAGATCAAACTCCTCAAAGGCAAGCTTAATAACCTGTTCAAAAAAGGATAAATGTTCCATTGGTTCAAGGACAGCCACGATAGCATGGCCATAAACCATTTTGCAATTGTACTATTTGTACTACACAACGCTTCGTTTTTTTTCTCTTTCTATTCATTCTTATATGCTTTGTTTTCCTAGAAACTGTGTCAATTAAAAGACTTGGGTCGGAATTCAGTCATAACAAATTGCCTTTCAAATCATGCAAAAAGTAAACAATCCATACTGTGTCAACCGTGGTTGGGATTTAAACAAATATTTCAAGATTGTTGTGGTTTTGCATCAAAAGTGTAATGCGCTATGATTTAATTCTAACCATAGAGCCCATACAATAATAATGAGTCTTTTAGCATGTTATGTATAAAAACATCATGGTACTCTTTGGTATGCACCATGGCAAAACATAGCTTCATCATATTAGAGCTGCAAAAGACAGCAACATTGCAGCTGCTGAAGCTTTATCATTTCAAACACGTGTTTTGGATGTGCTGTGATGACCGATTAATTCTCATTGCATAGTATGTGTAAAAAGCAACCCTGCCACTGCTACCAGGGAGGCTGAAATAATGAAACCATGAAATACATTTACAAATTATTTTGGGGTGGCAATGCAATGATGAAATGCAAAAGAGCACGAACAAAGCCTTGAGAAAAAAAGATGCCTCCACATTTGATGCCTGTACAGGAAGAAAGGCAATTAAAAGAGAATTGGATTTGAGCGGAGATTGCTTGAAGGGAAGAAATAAAGCTTAATTAGGACAAACCCATTATCAACATCCTAAAATTATCTCATTTGGGCCATTAAATAACCATTGTTCCCATCCATATTTTTTTTTCTGAGACTTGAAGCACTAATATATTACCTGTGTAGGTTGGGCAATCCTCACTGAAATGTGTAGTAGCAAGCCAAAGGGCCAAAAGTGAATGATCAATGTGAGAGCCTAAACCCTTGAGTACAAGTTCACTGATAGCCAGTTTTCTTTTCAGGAGCCTCTGATAACTCACCATGCCATGTACCTTGCCTTCAGAAAGTATTCATACCCCTTGACTTTTCTACCTATCTACACACAATACCCCATAATGACAAAGTATTTTTAGATATGTTTGCAAATTTATAAGAAAAGTTATACCGAAATATCTCATTTACAATCACACCCCTGAGTCAATACTTTGTAGAAGCACCTTTAGCGGCAATTCCAGCTGTGCGTCTTTTTGGGTAAGTATCTAAGAGCTTTGCACACTTGGATTCTACAATATTTGCCCATTATTCTTTTTAATATTCTTGAAGCTCTGTCAAATTGACTGTTGATCATTGCTTGACAGCCATTTTCAAGTCTTGCCATAGATTTTAAAGCCACTCAGGAACATTCAATGTCGTCTTGGTAACCAACTCCAGTGTAGATTTGGCCTTGTGTTTTAGGTTATTGTCCTGTCTGTTGGACAGCAGACTGAAGCAGGTTTTTCTCTAGGATTTTGCCTGTGCTTATAGCAGCATTGGAGTAGTCATTCACAAATCATGTTAACTTATTTAGGCTTGCCATAACAAAGGAGTTGAATACTTATTGACTGAAGACATTTCAGCTTTTAATTTTTTATTAATAATTTTAAAAAATATACGCAAAAATGTCACTTTTGACATTATGGGGTATTGTGTGTTGATCAGTGACACAAAATCTCAATTTAATCAATTTTAAAGTAAATTAAAGGGGTATGAATACTTTCTGAAGGCACTGTATACTAAACTCGGACATTGCAGAGATTAATGACAACAATAGCTTGGGGCAAGATCTAACACACAAATGTTCCTTCAATGACCAATGGCTACTAAAACAAGAATAATATATATTTTAATTGAACTTAACACAATGATGGACTGTCGTTTCTCTTTGCTTATTTGAGCTGTTATTGCCATAATATGGACTCTCTCTTTTACCAAATAGGGCTGTCTTCTGTTTACCCCCCACACACCTTATCACAACACAACTGATTGGCTCAAACGCATTAAGAAGGAAATAAATTCCACAAATTAACTTTTAACAAGGCACACCTGTTAATTGAAATGCATTCCAGGTGACTACCTCATGAATCTGGTTGAGAGAATGACAAGAGTGTGCAAAGCTCTCATCAAGGTAAAGGGTGGCGACTTTGAAGAATCTCATATCAAAAATATTTTGATTTGTTTAACACTTTTTGGGTTACTACATGATTCCATATGTGTTATTTCATAGTTTGGATGTCTTCACTATTATTCTACAATGTAGAAAATAGTTAAAATAAAGAAAAACCCTTGAATGAGTAGGTGTGTCCAAACTTTTGACTGGTACTGTATGTAGATTTGATAAACGTGTGTTTAATTAGACTGCTGCACCTTCTGTTTCTATATCAATCGTCATGCAATGCACTTCAAAGCGCACAAAAACAAAAAATTGTCTAAGGGTCATTGTGGCAATCCAATGTCCATGAAATGTCAATCTTTGTTGGCATAACACCACTGACAATTCCAATACAGCATAAGCCACCTGAGAGAAATCGCACTGCAGAAAACCAATGTGCGCTAAGATTGAATTACCGAACTATGCATAAATAATAATAAAAAACAGACACCGTACAAAAACATGTAGCAATGTGATGAAGTCATGATGATTGGAACAAGCCAAAATACAAGCCGAGAGACAGACAGGGCTAAGACTAAATTAGCAATTACACACTGACCTGCCATTTACAGTTACAATAGAATATGGAGAGCCTTTCATTTCTGTGTCACTACAATATCCATGTCCATGGTGACTCCCTAAAGCTGTGCCATAACAGTATGTACAGTATATCCTGAAACAAGTGACACCTGTATTGTTGGGATATTTTACTAGTCTTCTCTTATGTCTTGGGATAACATACCGTCAACAGAGGTAAACATATGTTGTTGTTTTCTACGCAACTGTGAGCACCTCTGAAGTTTTTGGACAAGCAATCTGTGTGGAATGTCAAACTTGGTTTCATAGTAAGTGGTTTAAGGCAATCTTAAATGAGAAGTCTACATTACCACCCTCTCAAATTACCCTGTCAAAAACCAATAGGGTTTTTACAGAAGACTTAGCAATGGAGAAAACAGAACTCATGGTCTATATGAACACAATTGCATGCTGACAGCACATCTTGGTGATTGTTCCTTTAACTGGCTTGTTGATCATATTTTAGGGCACTATTGATTTATTTGTTTTATTCAGAACCGAAAGGCATGACGACTGGTTCAATGATTCTGTTTTGTCTTCAATTGTTGATAAGACCTCTAAAATGCTTTTAAAATCTCCCTGTGACTTTGTAGAGATTGTTGATGTTTTGTAACTCATCCAAAATAATCAATGTCTGGTTGGACACCTGTCACTATACATTTTGCCCACTGTTTTGTGTCCCAACGACTTTGTTGTGTCAAAAACATCACACTATTTGTTTATGAATACTGTCTACCAGTTACATACACAAACACTAACACATTGGGGGGTAAATATATTAATGTGTCAATGACTAAATGAATTACTGAATTGATTATACTCCTTGGGGTAACCTAGTCTGACGTATGATGGTTTGCCAGGTGACTCAGGAAAAACACAGCTCAGTTTAGAGCATATTGTAACATTTAAGTCCAAATGTGAGTTAAAACATTCAAATTATTGTGTCCGCTAAATGTGGTAACAAAATTAATCAAAACTTGCTCCAGACATGAACAAAGTCGTTTGAGGTGCAATTTCCAAAATAGAATATTCCCTATTAACAATAGTGTTATCTTGTTAGAGGGTAAACTGGTAGGCATTGTTAGTACCTGGATGGTTCATTGAGCTGTGGACATCTAGACCTATCCTATACATACACTTGTGGAATCAATGTAACACATTATGGTTGGCTTATGATCACAAATCAACAAGGGATATGATGAGGCAGCACTACTTGTACTTAATGTGAGAAAATATTAGCTGAAGAACAGATCTGAAGAAAGAAACCTTTTATGAGGTTCTTCACACTCTGACCTGCACATACTTTGAAAGCAATCCTTCTTCCAATTAGATGGAGAACATCATTCCTAGGCCCAAAACTTGAGTATCATATCTTCCCAAACTAGCAACAACAGCCCCAGAATGGACGTTCATTAGATCTGATTGACAGCTACTGTGTCAGTGACGTCCATGTGTTCTAAAAAACTCACCGGTTTGTTTCAAAAAGTAAAAATAAGGTAGCGAGAAAGAAGAACAACTGTTGGCTCACTATCCCAAGAGACTCTGGGATGTTCAATCTCTGCCATCTTTGAGTCTCTTTTAGAATGTTTTCAAAACCCAAGTTTTCCACCAAGATAAATGCTCATGTTTGAATAATGACATGCCACAAATTAGAGAAGGAAATAATGAAAACTTGACTTCCACAGCAAGTACGTTAAAAAGGGCACTTGCTTCTTGCAATAACTACAGGTAAAAACAACTTTCAGAAGAGTAATTTTATTACAAAACATAGACTAATTTAATATAATTCTACACTATACTAACTGCAAAAGTAATTGAGAATAGGTTTAAAGAAAAGGAACAAACGTATCAGTCTGCACAGGAGACAGATAGGAACATTTGACAGATCTTCAGCCATTGGAAGACGATTTAAAGTTTGAACCCATTTAATTAATCCAAACCTCTAAGGAACATGTACTAACTGGAAGATACACTATATATACAAAAGTATGTGGACACCCCTTCAAATTAGTGGATTCTGATATTTCAGCCACACCCGTTGCTGACAGGTGTAAAAAAAAAATTGCACACAGCCATGCAATCTCCATAGACAAGCACTGGCAGTCGAATGGCCTTACTGAAGAGCTCAGTGACTTTCAACGAGGCACAGTCATAGGATGCTACCTTTCCAAAAAGTCAGTTCGTCAAATTTTTGCCCTGCTAGAGCTGCCCCGGTCAACTGTAAGTGCTGTAGTGGAAAGGTCTAGGAGCAACAACGGCTTAGCCGCGAAGTGGTAGGCCACACAAGCTCACAGAATGGGACCGCCAAGTGCTGAAGCGCGTACAAATCTTCTGTCCTTGGTTGCAACACTCACTACCGAGTTCCAAACTGCCCCTGTAAGCAATGTCATCACAAGAACTGTTCGTCGGGAGCTTCATGAAATGGGTTTCCATGGCCGAGCAGCCGCACACAAGCCTAAGATCACCATGCGCAATGCCAAGCGTTGACTGGAGTGGTGTAAAGCTCGGTGCCATTGGACTCTGGAGCAGCGGAAAAGCATTCTCTGGAGTGATGAATCACGCTTCACCATCTGGCAGTCCAACGGACAAATCTGGGTTTGGCGGATGCCAGGAGAACGCTACCTGCCCCAATGAATAGTGCCAACTGTAAAGTTTGGTGGAGGAGGAATAATGGTCTGGGGCTGTTTTTCATGGTTTGGGCTAGGCAACTTAGTTCCAGTGAAGGGGAATCTTAACGCTACAGCATACAATGACATTCTAGACGATTCTGTGCTTCCAACTTGGTAGCAACAGTTTGGGGAAGGTCCTTTCCTGTTTCAGCATGACAATGTCCCGTGCACAAAGCGAGGTCCATACAGAAATGGGTTGTCGAGATCGGTGTGGAAGAACATGACTGGCCTGCACAGATCCCTGACCTCAACCCTATCAAATACATTTGGGATAATTTGGAATGCCGACTGCGAGCCAGGCCTAATTGCCCAACATCAGTGCCCGACCTCACTAATGATCATGGCTGAATGGAAGCAAGTCCCCGCAGCAATGTTCCAACATCTAGTGGAAAGCCTTCCCAGAAGAGTGGAGGCTGTTATAGCAGCAAAGTGGGGACCAGCTCCACATTAATGCCCATGATTTTGGAATGATATGTTCGACGAGCAGGTGTCCACATACTTTTGGTAATGTAGTGTACCTCCAATCTTATCTGTCAGAGGTTTTTGCTGAATTTGGGCATGCTGAATATCTGAGTGACATGTCAAACTTTTAACATCATTCTCAAACTACTTTGTAAAGTAATTTCTGCCTTGACTTAATTGACCCGAGTGCTGTTTTGTAGCTGCAGCATTAGCCCCAAGAAAATGAAGTCCCGTTAATTATGTTCATAGGGAGATTTGGTTTTGGGTGGACAGTGTTAATGGCAACATAACAAATACTGGTGGTCACATGCACAAATACATATGCATCAGAGATTCAGCAATTTACAGCCAAGCAGTGGCGTGTATTCATGGATGCCAAGGGAAGCCAGGCTTTCCCAAAAAATGGACTAATAAAAAAAAATATATAGATATTTAATCTTTAATCTCTCTGTGTTTCATACTTTTCCTTCAGTTCGCAAGAGGCTGAATCTATCTCACAGGAGAAAGCATCCGAGCGAGCGAAACAGCGCCCCTCTGTCTCTCTACGTGTAGGCCATCTTTCTGATGCTGTCTGGTCCAAATGAGTATTGCAATGTTGCCGCCTGTAGCATTGAAGGCAAGGCAAGCCAGCAAGCATCTGGCCTTCCTTGACAAAAAAAGTATAGAAAATGTGCCAATCAGCCTTGAGCTAAACTGAGCGAGCTCAACTGTGAATGGTCCTGGCGCACCAAAAAAAAGTGTCAAGGGAAGCCAGCTTGGATTTGGTGTCACTCCTGTCAAATCCCATTGGGAGCATACGTCATTGACAGAAAAACTTGAATTGTTGCATTTATTTGTGTTGTTGTCCTCCGGTGGCTAGCTAGCCAGCTAGCTAAAATTGGTCCTTTCCTAAATTAGCCATGGATGGAGATAGGGATTTGGACTTGTGGTTTTACTTAATTCTCCGTACTGGCCAACGATTATAACGGCGATTCTGTTCCAACCATTAATTCATACATTTTTGTGCCCCTGGCCTGAGAGGATGGAAGTTCAATATGTAGCCAGATGTAGAAGTCTTATGTTAACTAGCTAACGTTGCCCATGAATGGAAGTTAGGCTAGCGAGCAAGCATTTTAGCCAGGTAGCCTAGGACAACAAAAAATAAAAGCGTGTACTGTATGACAAAGTAATAGAACCGTTTTGTCAACATGAAAGAGAGGAGGATGGCATTGGCGTTTCTCTACAAGTAGGGTAAGTCAACATGTTCTTCTACTTGCACGAACGCGCACGCACAACACACACACACACACACACACGCACACACACACACACACACAGAAATCAGAACCATGGACAGCCACATCATATTTAGCTTACGTTGATTGGACTAAATTGTTTTTGGTATGTTTTAGTTGTCACTGTACTAGACTAAGCAGAGGTGACTTTATGATGTTGAAATGTTGAAGTTGAAATGGTGCTGGAATAGTGGAGGCAGCTCCTGTTTTCTTTGCGACTTGCGGTAACTCTCTGTGGTTCTAAATCAATAGTTGTTTAGTGGTCCAAACATTTTGGATTGACTTGCTTGACCATGCTGTCTGTTACTGTACATGCAATATGCTTTGTGGACACTGGACAGAGGTTGCGATCCGGTTTTGTGATAAAACAAAGGTGTGGGTTGAATGTATTCTGCCACTGTGTCTTCTTATTGTCTCTGCTTTTAGGCCTATATAGCACGGTGTCAAGGCATATGAATTAACAGGTTATAGAGCAAACAGCGCAATTATCACAGCACATAGGTTGTAATATGGCTTTTTGGGGGGCTTGGCTTCCCCAGAGATTTTACCCACGCACCGCTACTGCAGCCAACTGATTATTAATTTCCAATCACTTTGAAGAGTTCCATTTCCTTTAAGGCACTCTTTCTTGAAGTATCCATAATTTACAGCAGGAGATATTAATTACTGTTTGCTTTATCTTTAGTGCTCTGACCCCTACGTTGCACAAGGGATATAAAAGACAAGTAGAAATCATTAATTTAACAGTTTCAAGTGGGCCCTCTTTATAAAATTAGATTTTTTTCTGATATTTTGCCTCATATTTGTTATGATCATTTAGTGATTTTAATGCCATTTGTATGCTAATGCACACAATGGCATTGCATTAATACGGTAACATAATCATAATTACGTGCTTGGATCCCACCCCACCATGGAATAGGTATGTATACATTGCACCAGCATGATTCCAATATTGCTCTTGAAACTTTTCTGACATTGAGGTGACTGAATTAAAATAATACAATATAATTTTTGGGGTTTCTTTTGTGTTTTGTTGTCTTTTATTTTTCTCACAGAAATCATCTCCATTCTTGCCGTTAACTTGTGGAGTTTATTATTGAAAGAAAATGAAATAAACATGGAGTATGCCAAGTAAAAACAAATTGTTTAATCGCTGAATAAAAACAATGCATGATAATGAAATGTTTAATTAACAATGCCAATGAAGTCATCCAATGAAGTCATGGGTTGTTTGGCATCATGCAGGGTACATATAAACACAGCACACATTTGTCATAATGTCAAGGTTCATGCCTAACATACTATTTTGCATTACAGAACATTTTGTCTTTCATAAGATGTTTCCTATTGGGTCACTGTCACAACAAAATATATTTGGAGCAAAAAAATCTCTCAGACTGCCTCCAAAATATTTTGATTTTGCCTCGATACTCAACTTGCAAAATACAACAAAAAATGAATTAAATGATTGAAGTTGAACCATTCACCTTGCAGGGGGATTCATTAGCAAGTATATGAATGCTGATAACTTACTGTGTTTAAGTGAAAGAAAGAAGAAAATAAATCTGACTCACCTTCCCATTGTCCACTGCTGTTATGACCCAGACACAGTGGGCATTATTTTCATACTGAACAGGGTAATTAGGGGAGGTGATGAAGCCCTTTGGTCCTCTTAAATTAGAGCCACATGTTCTCGCTGTTGAAATAAAATAAAATACATCTATCAGAAATTATATGGATGCTACATTGGAAACAACAATGCAATGATCAACAGGTGATATACATCCCACAATCACACTGAGAAAGATGAGCCATTAGGTAAAGCAATAACCTCAACCAACTCCAGAAATAGACTTGACACTGCTGTACATTTTCTGTAAAACAGTTAGTCGTGGAATGCATTCATTCCACGACTATGGACACTTTCTCATAGAAAATGTGTCTGGAATCTTAAGGTTGAATTCCAGCCTACTAAGAAGAGGTATCTACAGTGGTATCATTCACTGAAAGGCTGGAAGCCAACATGCTTGTTTACAAAACAGTGCCTTTTAATTACTCAAACTTTATCCTCTCCACAACAGCTGAGGATTGGTGAGTGAAATCATCAAGAGGTGAAGCTGAAAAATATTAATTATGAAATCTCTGATGACTACGCTGTGCGCCTGTTAATTATCGAAGAGTCAGAGGGTTCCATAGAGTCGGTAGAAAAAAATGCCAAAACGAGCACATTCTTCATTTACAGGTCGGAAACACATTCTATAATTAACTAAGTAATCACCTGGGATCATGCCCATCCGGGAGAGAAAAGAGCAGCAGTGGATCTCTGGCCTGGAGGCTTTTTAACTTCACATTTAATGGCTTTTACCGGTTACTTAGCTCCGCATGGAGGAGGTGGTAGAGGAGAGAAGTTTGGGGGTGAGGTGGTAGTAGAGTGTTATTCTTAAAGGTTTTACTGGGTGATGCTGTGACAAAAAGTATCTGGATCAATCAGTACTTCCCAGGAAAGGTGCTAAGAAATTGTCAAACATGGTTACTCTTCCTTCTGGATGGTTGACATACTGCCTCATTTCATTTTGATTAATGTTTTCTGGAGGCCTGTGTCCTCTATGGCTTTGAAAGTTAGAACTCTGCAGATCTCACCTCAGGACCGATATTGAACCAGGTTGTCTCAGTCGCGACCCAATATTTGCATTCCTATTTTTTTGTTGCCAAAACGCAATCTGGAAAACTATTTTTAATGCTATATTGATAGCAAATGTAAAAAATATACTCTATCGGTGAAAAGTTTTAGAACACCTACTTATTCATGGGTTTTTCTATATTTTTACTATTTTCTACATTGTATAATAATAGGGAAGACATCAAAACTATGAAATAACACGTATGGAATCATGTACTAACCAAAAAAGTGTTAAACAAATCTAAATATATGTTATATTTGAGATTCTACAAATAGCCACCCTTTGCCTTGATGACAGATTTGCACACTCTTGGCATTCTCTCAACCAGCTTCATGAGGTAGTCACCTGGAATGCATTTCAATTAACAGGTGTGCCTTCTTAAAAGTTAATTTGTAGAATTTCTTTCCTTCTTGATGCGTTTGAGTCAATCAGTTGTGTTGTGACAAGGTAGGGGGGGTATACAGCAGATAGCCCTATTTGGTAAAATACCATGTCCATATTATGTCAAGAACAGCTCAAATAAGCAAAGAGAAACGACAGTCCATCATTACTTTAAGACATGAAGGTCAGTTAATACGGAACATTTCAAGAACTTTGAAAGTTTCTTCAAGTGCTGTTGCAAAAACCATCAAGCGCTATGATGAAACTGGCTCTCATGAGGACCGCCAAAGGAATGGAAGAACCAGAGTTACCTCTGCTGCAGAGGATAAGTTCATTAGAGTTACCAGCCTCAGAAATTGCAGCCCAAATAAATGCTTCATAGAGTTCAAGTAACAGACACATCTCAACATCAACTGTTCAGAGGAGACTGTGTGAATCAGGCCTTCATGGTCGAATTGCTGCAAAGAAACCACTACTAAAGGACACCAATAAGAAGAAGAGACTTGCTTGGACCAAGAAACATGAGAAATTTACATTAGACCGGTGGAAATATGTCCTTTGGTCTGGAGTCCAAATTGGAGATTTGTGAGACGAGTTGTGGGTGAACAGATGATCTCTGCATGTGTAGTTCCCACCGTAAAGTATGGAGGAGGAGGTGTTATGTGTGGGGGTGCTTTGCTGGTGACACTGTCTGTGATTTATTTTGAATTCAAGGCACACTTAACCAGCATGGCTACCACAGCATTCTGCAGCGATACACCATCCCATCTGGTTTGGGCTTAGTGGGTTTATCATTTGTTTTTCAACAGGACAATGACCCAACACATCTCCAGGCTGTGTAAGGGCTATTTTACCAAGAAGGAGAGTGATGGAGTGCTGCATCAGATGACCTGGCCTCCACAATCCCCCGATCTCAACCAAATTGAGATGGTTTGGGATGAGTCGGACGGCAGAGTGAACGAAAAGCAGCCAACAAGTGCTCAGCATATGTGGGAACTCTTTCAAGACTGTTGGAAAAGCATTCCAGGTGAAGCTGGTTGAGAGAATGCCAAGAATGTGCAATGCTGTCATCAAGGCAAAGGGTGGCTATTTGAATAATCTCAAATATAAAATATATTTTGATTTGTATAACACTTTTTTGGTTACTACATGATTCCATATGTGTTATTTCATAGTTTTGATGTCTTCACTATTATTCTACAATGTAGAAAATAGTAAAAATAAATAAAAACCGTTGAATGAGTTGGTGTTCTAAAACTTTTGACCGTTAGTGTATATATATATACAGCTCTGGAAAAAATGTAGAGACCACTGCAAATGTTTCTTAAATCAGCATCTCTACATGTATGACAGCCATTCCATTCCAGTGTCTGTTGAATTCCAACACAGGCACACCTCATTCTACTGAATTAGGTACTGATTAGGTGATCACCTGAACCAAATCTTATTTAACGGGGAAATGTATAAAAACCACTGCTGTGGTCATCACTATCCTCTTGCAATAGGACCAGCTGGATGGCAAAAATTGTGCTAATAGTACCTCAAAAGTAATATTAATCAAAAAATAACTATTGACCATGACAAAAGAGTTGAAAAGGAAAGTTTTGAGTGAGGAAAAGAAAGGTTCAATTCTGGCTTTACTGGCAGAGGGATACAGTGAGCGTCAGGTAGCTTCCATCCTTAACATTTCAAAGACGGCGGTTCATAAGTCAAGCAGCAGACATTGGGGACAACAAAGCTACAGACCGGCAGAGGGCAAAAACGACTCTTTACTGACCGGGATGACCGCCAACTCATTCGAATGTCACTCAACAACCGTAGGATGACATCATATGACCTACAAAAATAATGGCAAAAGGCAGCTGGGGTGAAGTGCACGGCGAGGACGGTTCGAAACAGGCTCCAAGGGGCAGGGCTGAAGTCGTGCAAAGCTAGAAAAAAGCCCTTCATCAATGAGAAGAAAAGAAGAGCCAGGCTGAGGTTTGCAAAAGACCATAAGGATTGGACCGTAGAGGACTGGAGTAAGGTCATCTTCTCTGATGAGTCCAATTTTCAGCTTTGGGCAACACCTGGTCGTCTAATGGTTAGACGGAGACCTGGAGAGGCCTACAAGCCACAGTGTCTCGCACCCACTGTGAAATTTGGTGGAGGATCGGTGATGATCTGGGGGTGCTTCAGCAAGGCTGGAATCGGGCAGATTTGTCTTTGTGAAGGACGCATGAATCAAGCCACGTACAAGGTTGTCCTGGAAGAAAACTTGCTTCCTTTTGCTCTGACATTGTTCCCCAACTCTGAGGATTGGTTTTTCCAGCAGGACAATGTGCCATGCCACAAAGCCAGGTCAATGAAGGTGTGGATGGAGGACCACCAGATCAAGACCCTGTCATGGCCAGCCCAATCTCCAGACCTGAACCCCATTGAAAACTTCTGGAATGTGATCAAGAGGAAGATGGATGGTCACAGGCCATCAAACAAAGCCGAGCTGCTTGAATCTTTGCGCCAGGAGTGGCATAAAGTCACCCAACATCAATGTGAAAGACTGGAGGAGAGCATGCCAAGACGCATGAAAGCTGTGATTGAAAATCAGGGTTATTCCACCAAATATTGATTTCTGAAACATTACTATTGTGTTGTTTAAAAATGAACATGAACTTATTTTTCTTGCATTATTTGAGGTCTGACAACACTGCATATTTTTTGTTATTTTGACCAGTTGTCATTTTCTGCAAATAAATGCTCTAAATTACAAAAGATTTATTTGGAATTTGGAAGAAATGTTGTCAGTAGTTTATAGAATAAAACAAAAATGTTATTTTTACCCAAACACATACCTATAAATAGTAAAACCTTAGAAACTGATAATTTTGCAGTGGTCTCTTAATTTTTTCCGCAGCTGTATATAGTAAAAACAACCCTTTTCTGTTTTCGTACACAGCATGTGCTAACAAAAGCCTACTATGCAGTCATAATCATTTTGGGAGCTCATGTGATATTCATCCCAGCTATTAACACTTCAAAGGAAGACAGCTTGCAGTTACTGCCTCTCACAGATGGCTAACAACTGCAAGTCTCAATAAAGACAGAGAGAAGACATCTCAATGCTTTTAAATCAAGGGGATTGAATCTTGAATAGCCTTTGAAAATTCCAGGTAAAGCCATGGTAATATGAAGAATATAGAACATTCAAGTCTTTGACCTGGTTAGTAGTAGGTAACAGTTAAATCCTCGAAATACAAGAATCTCTGTACTGTAGTCCCTCACCATTGAACACCACACACCCTACTCACAATTGGTGCGTGTCCCCCATCTCCCTTAACGAGATGTGAAAATGTACCAACAGAAAGTGTTGGGATGGGAAATGGCCTGCCTGGGTTCACACTTACTGCGGCAGATAGGCCTGTGGTCACTCCACGCAGCCAGCGTCTCTGTCACTCTCTGGCAAGTGATGCTCTTTGATCCCTGAAGCACATAGCTGTCATCGCAGGAAAACTGGATGCTGGCTCCGACCCTATGGGAGTTGGAGAAACAAATGACCGTCAGTGACTGACCTGCCGCACAGAACTCACCATCAACCCCTGGCCCCTCTATGGCTGTGACAGACTTTCTTCCTCGAAATATCATTTTTTTTCTCTGTGTACAAGTTCCCTACCATTCTCAAGTTTCTTTGTTTTTAATGGTGATAAGTAAGTCTGCCTCCTTAACAAACAAGTAATGACCCTTGTTGAATTAAGGCATCTTCTCTAAGAGGATCTTATCACCTATTGAGGGGGTGCAATTGCAGTCACTAATGGTGATGGCATAACAGTGGGGGTTTAAAAATGCAACACAGCAGGGCTCGCCCCGATTAAAGCTGTTCCACACAGTTCCCATTACACTGACGCCAAACCTGATAAGAGTGAAGAAAAGGCACCCACTGAAAGTCAAAGCCCATCCTCTTCCCATTCTCTGGAATCCCAGGATCTGGACAAATGTCTGCTGCCATGCCCCCTTGGCTCACTACAGAAAGAGGATAAAGGTGGAATACAGAGTTGTGAGGGAAAAGAGGTACCAAACCTATTGAAATACTAGTGACAGATATTATATAATAATACCATGAAAGTGGTGCACCACAAGTGCACTGTATATACCGGGTAGGTATGGAAAAAATACATATATAATAATAATCAAAGTAATGTAATAAGCTTGATTGTACAGTTTATGACTAATTGATTCATTGACACTACAAAATATACACACTGATTGTTAGAAAAAAAGGTTACGTTTTCTATAGAGGCTGAGATACTTTTAACAAAGGCCCATATCGATGCTCCATAAGAAGTGCTGACAAGAATCTGAAAGGTTGTCACGGATTCTGCCGAGGCTGCCCCTCCTCCTTGCTTGGGCAGGCTGTGGCGTTCGTCGTCACCGGAATACTAGCTACTGCCGATCTATGTTGCACCTGTTGTCTATTGTTACACACCTGTTGCCCATTATTGTAATCACTCCTTCCCTATATAACCCAGTGGCTACCAATGTGTTTTGTGCGTGGTTGTTTTTCGTTTTGTGTGTCGTTGGTGAGCGGGTTAGTTCCTTCCTGTGTGGAGGTATTTCTGTGTTGTTTTCTTTACTCATTTTCAGTAAAGTACGTTTCTTCGAGTTCTGTGTCCTGCGCCTGACTTCGATCCACCGCATTACACTGACACTCGTTACAGAACCACGCACCATCTATGGAGTCAGCAGGTACAGCCCGTCAGTCCGAATCGATGGAGGAACGATTTCAACAGGAGAGTATCATCCAGGCGCTCGGCACCGCCATGGAGAGGGTGATGAATACTATGGACCATTAGGAGAGAGGTGGCCTTCCCACACCTCCTCCAACCACTCTACCACCCATACCACAGTCCAACTGGGCCCAGTGTTATTCGGCTCTCGCTCCCGAGGGCATATGACGGTACACCAGCCGGGTGTCAGGTTTCCTTCTCCAGGTAGAGCTCTATGCAACCATTCCCGGCCCTGGATACGAGGTGTGTCCGCCTCATCTCTGTCTGTCGGGAACGATGAGGGGCTAACCCCGAGTGGGGAGGATGACGCTGCAGGGTCCGCTACGAGGATTTCACCCCCACTTCGGGCGGGTATCGATCATCCCCGGAGGGGAGAGCGATGCGAGCGTCTGTTCTACCTACGACAGTGGTCCTCGTAGCTAGATGGTGAGCACGCTGCTTGTAACGCAAGGGTATGGGTTCATCCCCGGGCCTAACAAAAATAATACGTTGCACCGAGATGTAAGGCGGCGGATAAGCGTCTGCTAAATGGCATTTTTATTATTATACGACAGGAGAGGAGGAGCGCCCAGGATTTTGCGCTGGAGTTCAGGACATTGGCAGCCAGCGCCGGATGGAATGAGAGGGCCCTGATCGACCACTATTGGTGCAGCCTAAGGGAGGACGTTCGGCGGGAACTGGCCTGCAGGGATACCAATCTCAACCTGGACCAACTGGTGGAGATGTCCATCAGGCTGGATAACCTGTTGGAGACCCGCGGACGTTCTGATCGGGGTCCATTCATTCCATCCCCCAGCACCTCCGACTCTACCTCCATGGAGCTCGGAGGTGCTGCGCTTAGGGAGACCAGGAGAGGGGCCGTCCCCTGCACCAACTGTGGCCTCAGAGGACACACTGCGGGTCGGTGCTGGGGAGGGTCCCCAGGGAGTCGAGGCAGTAAGCAGAGCACTGGTCAACCATCTCAGGTGAGTAGGCACCCGACTCACCCAGAGCTCCCTGTTGGTCAGTTGTGTATAGAGGTTGTGTTTCCAGAGTTTTCTCCTCATTCCCAGCATAAGGCGCTAGTAAATTCAGGCGCAGCTGGGAATTTTATTGATCGTCAATATTCTCATAGGTTAGGGATTCCTACTGTTCGTGTTGATGTGCCCTTCCCTATCCACGCATTAGATAGTCGCCCGCTAGGGTCATGTCTAATCAGGGAGGTTACCGCACCACTCTTGATGAGGACGCAGGGGGGTCATGAGGAGAGGATTAGTCTCTATCTGATTGATTATCCTGCATATCCTGTGGTGTTGGGACTTCCCTGGTTAACCACTCATGATCCCACTATTTCCTGGCAACAGAGGGCTCTCAAGGGATGGTCCAGTCAGTGCTCAGGGAGGTGTGTAGGGGTTTCCTTGGGGGCTACTACGGTGGAGAGTCCAAACCAGGTCTCCACAGTGCACATTCCTTCTGAGTATGCCGATTTGGGTCTCGCCTTCAGTAAGAAGAGGGCGACTAAATTACCACCCCATCGTCTGGGGGATTGTGCGATAAATCTCCAGGTAGGTGCTGCACTTCCCCGGAGTCACGTGTATCCTCTGTCACAGGCGGAGAAGGCGGCTATGGAAACATATGTCTCCGAATCTCTGAGACAGGGATACATTCGGCTTTCCACTTCACCTGGTGGGTTACGCCCGTGCATTGATTACCGTGGGCTTAATCAGATCACTGTCAAGTACAGCTATCCCTTACCTCTGATAGCATGTATGACGGAATCACTGCACGGGGCGCACTTCTTCACGAAATTGGATCTCAGGAGTGCGTACAATCTGGTGCGTATTCGGGAAGGAGATGAGTGGAAGACGGCTTTCAGCACTACCTCAGGTCACTATGAGTACCTCGTCATGCCATAAGGGTTGATGAATGCTCCATCAGTCTTCCAAGCCTTTGTCGATGAGATTTTCAGGGATCTGCACGGACAGGGTGTAGTGGTGTATATTGATGACATTCTCATATACTCCGCTACACGGGCCGAGCATGTGTCCCTGGTGCGTAAAGTACTTGGACGACTGTTGAAGCATGACCTGTATGCCAAGGCGGAGAAATGCCTGTTCTTTCAGGAGTCCATCTCCTTCCTAGGGTCCGCGTCTGGGGTGAAAATGGAAAGTGACCGCATTTCGGCCGTGCGTAATTGGCCGACTCCAACCACGGTGAAGGAGGTGCAGCAATTTTTGGGATTTGCCAATTACTACCGGAGGTTTATCCGGGGCTTTGGTCAGGTAGCGGCTCCCATTACCTCGTTGCTGAAGGGGGGACCGGTGCGTCTGCGGTGGTCAGCTGAGGCGGACAGGGCGTTCAATCATCTGAAGAACCTGTTTACCTCGGCTCCAGTGCTGGCTCATCTGGATCCCTCCTTGGCCTTCACGGTTGAGGTGGACGCGTCGGAGGCTGGGATAGGTGCTGTACTTTCCCAGCGCTCAGGCACACCACCCAAGCTCCGCCCCTGTGCGTTCTTTTCTAAGAAGCTCAGTCCGGCGGAGCGCAACTATGATGTGGGGGACCGAGAGCTGTTGGCCGTGGTCCAAGCCCTGAAAGCGTGGAGACATTGGCTTGAGGGGGCTAACCACCCTTTTCTCATTTTGACTGACCACCGCAATCTGGAGTACATCCGTGCAGCGAAGAGATTAAACCCTCGCCAGGCAAGGTGGTCAATGTTTCTCACCCGTTTTTGTTTCACCCTTTCGTACAGGCCAGGTTCCCAGAATGCTAAGGCAGATGCTCTGTCCCGACTGTATGACACGGAGGAGAGTTCCGTGGAGCCCACTCCCATACTTCCGGTGTCGTGTCTGGTGGCACCGGTGGTGTGGGAGGTGGACGTGGACATCGAGCGGGCGTTGCGTAACGAACCCACTCCTCCCCAGTGTCCAGAGGGTCGTGTGTACATCCCGCTGGAGGTCTGCGATCGGTTGATCTATTGGGCTCATGGGTAGGGGTTGCAATTTCCCTCTGGTCATCCTGGTATCGGTCGGACAGTGCATTGTCTTAGTGGGAAGTACTGGTGGCCCACCTTAGCTAAGGACGTGAGGGTTTATGTTTCCTCCTGCTCGGTGTGCGCCCAGTGTAAGGCTCCTAGACACCTGCCCAGAGGGAAATTGCAACCCCTACCCGTTCCACAACGACCGTGGTCCCACCTATCGGTGGATTTCGTGACAGATCTTCCTCCCTCACAAGGGAATACCACGATCCTGGTCGTTGTGGATCGGTTTTCTAAGTCCTGCTGCCTCATTCCTCTGCCCGGTATCCCTACGGCCCTACAGACTGCTGAGGCCCTATTTACACACGTCTTCCGGCACTATGGGATACCTGAGGATATAGTGTCTGATCGGGGTTCCCAGTTCACCTCGAGGGTTTGGAGGGCGTTCATGGAACGTCTGGGAGTCTCAGTCAGCCTGACCTCAGGGTTTCACCCCAAACGTAACGGGCAGGTGGAGAGAGTCAACCAGGAGGTGGGTAGGTTTCTGAGGTCGTTTGCCAGGACCGGCGGGGGGAGTGGTCGGTTTTCCTCCCCTGGGCAGAGATGGCCCAAAACTCACTCCGCCACTCCTCCACTAACCTTACTCCATTCCAGTGTGTATTAGGTTATCAGCCGGTTCTGGCACCTTGGCATCTGCGGTGGATGAATGGTTTCGGCGCTCGCAGGAGACCTGGAACGCTGCCCATGTGTGCCTGCAGCGGGGCATCGGGCAGCAGAAGGCGGCGCCAGTGAGGCTCCGGTGTATGCACCGGGGGACCGGGTCTGGCTCTCGACCCGAAACCTGCCCCTTCGCCTGCCCTGCCGGAAGTTGGGTCGGCGGTTTGTGGGGCCATTCAAAGTCCTGAGGAGATTGAACAAGGTATGTTATAGGTTACAGCTTCCTCCTGAGTATCGTATTAACCCCTCGTTCCATGTGTCTCTCCTCAGGCCGGTGGTAGCTGGTCCACTCCAGGAGTCTGAGATACGGGAGGTTCCTCCTCCCCCACTGGACATCGAGGGGGCACCGGCGTACTCGGTCCGTTCCATCTTAGATTCAAGGCGTTGGGTGGGATTCTGCCGAGGCTGCCCCTCCTCCTTGCTCGGGCAGGCTGCGGCGTTCGTCGTCACCGGAATACTAGCTACTGCCGATCTATGTTCTATGTTGCACCTGTTGTCTAATGTCACACACCTGTTGCCCATTATTCTAATCACGCCTTCCCTATTTAACCCAGTGGCTCCCA